GAATGAAATGAACGCAAAGATGGAGTTTGCGGGGCGGGGCGCGTGTTGCGTCATCATAAACTCTGAAGTTACTGAGCCATACGGGTGGGAGGGACTGTACTTTATTATTTTTACAAAACAACAGTACTGCACCCAAACTCCATTCAAAGAAACGATTAAATATATATATATATATACTTTCTCTTTGATTTTTCTGTTTAGAAAAAACAACAACACATAGATTCCAAGAATGTTCCACCAACTAATAAGATTGTTGGTTGACAATATATTATCAATAAGATAAATGTCTTTCCAAACATATTTTGTAAAAAGAAAACCTGGCTGTTGGCATTTATGTAGCAGAAGTTCCTGTCCAAGCTGATTTTCAAGTTGCCTAGCAATGCACCTGCATTGTTATTATCATGGCATGTCTGTTTGTGTCACTATAATCTTCCCTCCTGCATCATGTGGAACTGTACCTACAGCTGAGCCAACCATTGACCTGCTGACCAAAGCATGGTTTTGACCATTGCAAAAGGCTGTAAGGTCATAAATGGACAGGGTGTGTTTTTACAACCACTTGTTTGCTTACATGTGTAAAAGCAAACTACTCAATCAATCACATTTATTTATAAAGCCCTTTATACATCAGCAGATGTCACAAAGTGCTTATACAGAAACCCAGCCTAAAACCCCAAAGAGCAAGCAATGCAGTTGTAGAAGCATCGTGTCTAGGAAAAACTCCCTAGAAAGGTAGGAACCTAGGAAGAAACCTAGAGAGGAACCGGGCTCTTAGGGGAGGCCAGTCCTCTTCCGGCTGTGCCGGTGGAGATTATAAAGGTGCATGGCAATTAAGATCATTCTTCAAGATGTTTAAACGTTCATAGATGACCAGCAGGGTCAAATAATAATCATAGTGGTTATAGAGGGTGCAACAGGTCAGCACCTCAGGTAGAGAGAGGGCGAGGGCGAGAGAGGGTCGAAACAGCAGGTCCAGGAGAAGGTTTCACGTCCGGTGAACAGGTCAGGGTTCCATAGCCGCAGGCAGAACAGCAGAAACTGGATCAGCAGCACGACCAGGTGGACTGGGGACGGAGACAGCCAGGAGTCGTCAAGCCAGGTAGTCCTGAGGTATGGTCCTAGGGCTCAGGTCCTCCGGAAGGGGAGAGAGAGTAAGCAAGAGAGATGTGGAAGAATTAGAGGGAGCATACTTAAGATCACACAGGACACCAGATAGGACAGACTGACCCTAGCTCCCCAGCACATACTGTAGACTATTGCAGCATAGATACTGGAGACTGAGGGACGGACGGACACTCCGACGATACCCCCAGACAGTGCCAGCCAGGCAGGATATAACTCCACCCACTTTACCAAAACACAGCCCCCACACCACTAGAGGAATATCAACAGACCACCAACATACTACCCTGAGACAAGGCCGAGTATAGCCCACCACACGAGCCTGAGGGGGCGCAAAACCGGACAGGAAGATCAACCCACTCAAGTCGAGTATAGCGAAAAAATTCTGCCGCGATATAATGCACCCCACCTAGGGATGGCATGGGAGAGCACTAGCAAGCCAGTGACTCAGCCCCCGTAATAGAGTCAAAGACAGAGAATCCCAGTGGAGAGAGGGGAGCCGGCCAGGCAGAGACAGCAAGGGTGGTTCGTCACTCCAGTGCCTTGCCGTTCACCTTCGCACCTCTGGGCCAGACTACACTCAATCATAGGACCTACTGAAGAGATGAGTCTTCAGTAAAATCTTAAAGGTTGAGACCGAGTCTGCGTCCCTCACATGGATCGGCAGACCATTCCATAAAAATAAAGCTCTATAGGAAAGTCCTGCCTCCAGGAACAGTAAGGAGGCCTGCATCTTGTGACCGTAGTGTACGTGTAGGTATGTACGGCAGGACCAAATTGGAGAGATAGGTAGGAGCAAGTCCATGTAATGCTTTGTAGGTTAGCAGTAAAATCTTGAAATCAGCCCTAGCCTTAACAGGAAGCCAGTGTAGAGGCCATTTCTTAAATCACTCACAGTGATACACATACGCCTGTCACACACACACAGAGGATAATGTGCTGCATTGCCAATATAAATGCACAAGCAGAGACATTTTCACAGAAACAGAAACATTATTAAAAAGTGTCATATTCAAGCACAGAGACCCTTGCCTGTCCAGCATAAGTGTGTAACCTGTTGATGGTTAATGTTTTTGCTGACTTAGGTTGACCCCCCTCACCCTGAGGTCAGGGGTTAAATGTGACCTCCACTAAGCCATTTTTAGAGAAGAACAGATAGATCATGGGAATTAAATACTTAATATAACATCTGGTTAGGGGGATGAAACACATGGAGAACTTGATATATGCTGTTGTATAATAAACATGTTATGGTGCTCTGTCTTCATTTCCTCTTCTCTGCCTTGGCCAGTGACAGTCCCATGGCTGCAGTATTATAAAGTGGCTACTTGATTTTTACATAATTTGTCATAGAGAGAAGAGCTGGTAAATTAGATCTCAGCATGTGAGCAGTCGCCCTCTTGTGGTCAGAGGAAAGCAGTGTTGATGGAGGTAAATAGAATGACAGGAAGGGATGCGGCTATGCTTGAGCATTCAAATGCTTTCAGGTCATTGACAATTGAGCCTCTGGGACAGTAAATCTCATTTGAGCCCTACAGTGATTGAGAATAATTTAATTTCTCATTTCTTCCAGGCAACATAAATTCACTTGCTTTCATTATTACACTGTCATTATACCAGAAGGCCATCTGAGGAGACATAAATATGACAGTTGTCAATGCAAGCAGGTTTAGGATTTTACGACATTTAAAGCTCAGTGTGGACTAAGCAAGACTTCACGTTAATTGTGTTAAACTGATCAAATAACCCACTCTCTGTTTCTATAACTTAGATGGAGTCACATTCACTCTGCACATTCATGTATTACAAATGGTCTGATGAATGAAGGGTATGCACATTCATTGGATGACTGTGGTTCTTCTCAGGGATTGTGTTACAGGAAAACAGGTTAGCAGCAGGCCTTTTCAATGGGACATTTGAAGAGGTTGATGTCACGTTACACATAAATACATGGATATGTTTGTGCACCAATCATCTCTCTGATTTATAGTCCACAGGGCTGCCTGTAATGTTATGGGTGAATGCCCCTGCCTTTGATGTTGGCCCTGGTTTCTTAGCAGCATGTGAAAATCCCAACACTTGGAGAGCGAGGGAAGCCAGGTCACATGACCCATAGCGAAAGCAGACATTGTGTGTCTATTTCGTTAGCGTGTTTAGCCTACATGTGTTTAGCCATGTCCAAAAATATACATTATCAATCCTCACATGCAAATAAAAGGGGGCCCATGGTATCAAATTATTTTCTTCACATCTCTGCCAATGGTCCCTTAGCTCTCCTCTCCTGTGCTCTCTACATTCTAATGCCTGCTGCTTGTTTCTAAAGGTGAGGTGTGAGAGGCAGATGCACAAACACTAGCTCTGCTGTGAGGATAGGTAATGAAGGAATAAAGGGAGAGAGGGATGTGGAGAGGGAGGGGTAATTGACCTCTAATGGGGAAAACACTAGCATCCAGGAGTCAAGACATCTTTACAAGAGCAGTCAATTACTCTGGTGTTCTTTTCTGGTCTTTTCTCTCTATTGGGTGGTAGTGTACTCAAATATATCGTGAAAACTGCAAAATAAAGCACAGCTGTATTCTCTTCTTACAGTGACATCCAAATATCATATAGCTAACAGGCACATGACCTAATATATTGGTACACCGGGTAACCTTCAAATGATAAAATACAGAACCTTGTTTTCCTGTTGTTTCTCAACCAGTGACCACCTGCTACCAATCTTTAATAGTATTGTAGAGGTCACTCAGCTCTATTGTAGAAATATATAACAGGACATTTTCCAGAAGGCTGAGACCCGCTACAAACACTGTTCTAATCAAACCTCAGCTTTCCAAAATATCATATGCTGTTCTGAAGAGGGAAAGGAGAGTTTAAGACCTATGGTAACATCACAATAATGGAATAACATTCAATCAGCACAATATCCACAGATTTATTGTTTTATTTCAGGATTAACAGATGAGTAATACGAACTATGGATAAATTACCTCTATTAATGTACCTACAGTAATTAAAATACAGTGTATATGGCTTGTAGTGTATATAATTTCAAACACACAGTGTTTGCACTGTGTCTCTGACAGATTTTCACACCTCTAGACAGCTGCAAAAGGATAGCATCAGTTTATAACATTAGTGTTTTAACATTTCAACATTTAGGAATTTCATTTAGTTATTAAAACATTTATCATATATGATGCATGAAAAACAGTTGAGACTAAGTAAAATAACATTCAAATCACAGTCACAGCACTTTAAGTGGTGTCTTCCTAGTAATGGCATACAGTATGTTTAAATGAAGGCACTTATCAATGATTAGAAAGGAAAGGGAAAGGGGGATGCCTAGTCAGTTGAATGCATTCAACTGAAATGTGTCTTCCTCATTTAACCCAACACCTCTGAATCAGAGAGGTGCGGGGGGCTGCCTTAATGGACATCCACGACATAGGCGCCCAGTGGAAAAGTAGAAAAGGGCTAAGTGAATGAAAACAATTTAATCACAACATCAACCTTTTGAAAGATTACATTTTAAAGAATAATAAATAGGAATTATCATCAATAAAAATACCAATATTATACCAATCACACAATGACTGTTTTTACTTACTGATATGCATTCATTTATGAACAAAAGTATATATATATTTAGTGTAGTTTGAAAATTGCAGACAAGTATAAAATGGCACATACAATTTATAGTTATTATTATGGCACATACAATATTTGGTATTGCTAAATTGTTGTTTCATAATATAAATGCTTAATGTCTTGGTTCGTAATGCTCTTGGCATAATTAAATGGCTTCCCTTGAAGCATGCAATTGTGAAAATTGCAATTGAATGTTTCCCCGTAAAATTACTGCCCCCAACACCACATATTCAGTCCACATTTCTGTACCTGGTGAACAGGTTATACAGCACCCTCAGCGTTGACTTGAGGTCACAGTTCACGATATCTGGGAAAAAAGAACATATGAATAAACACATACAGACAGCCATCTCTAAAAACATATTTTTGAATAGAAATCCAGCAGGATATGGCATAAAGGAAGTGTTTTGACCCTGAGAAAAGCATTCCGATTCAGAAATGACAATCACACTGCCAATTAAATAGTACACTGAACATGAATGTGTTTCAACACGCATTCATAGACACACTACTAAATAATACTAAAAACAAATGAAAAAATACATTAAGTACACACACACACAGAACCCAAAAAGAAATCCATCCACAAAGGGGCTTGGCGTGTAATGCTTCTACTTAAACATAGTGTGACATTTGAGATTCACTGAATGGATTGGTAGAGTGAAAGAGCATATAACCAAGTCTGGAAGAAGTTTGGCTTTATGTGAGAATACTGCCGTCAGGGCTTAGTGCCTGACGGAATTCTCATAAACAAATAATTTATTTAGAGACCGATACAATTAAAACACTGACACATTGAATTATCAGGATTATATCTATTGCTCCATATGGTTTTGCACTAAATGTTCAGCCTCAGAAAAGGAAGAAAAACATTTAAACTAAACATAATTGTCCATAGCAACTATAAATGGCATCCTAAAGGAGAACACATACCTTCAGGCCTGGGTCTGGGTCTCTCCAGACCTCCGTCTTGCATCAGCTCAAAGGAGAAGGAGACGTTGTGCACCTGCATGACAGAAACACAATGACAGCAACATTACACAACACAAGAGCCACGCAAAGGTAGGCTACAGTTTGAGGAAACAGCTCTCCAACCAACACACAACACATACAATTCACACAGGTCATTACAGTTCCCCTACCACATGTTCCTCGGTGTGTAAACATCAGCTCAATAAACCCATAACCCCTTTCCAGCTGGACAAACACTCCCTCTGCACCAGCTAAAACACTAGAGGAAGGAGGAGGTGTTTCAGTCAGAATGTGGTTGTTGTTTGGTTGAGTTGGTTCATGTAAAAGTGTGGTACTGAGTGTCAGTACAGCGCCTGGTAATTCTTAGAACAGATCAGCTAGGAGTTTAAGGAGATTTAGGAAATATGGAGAGGGAAATTAGTAGCCAAAGCTTGAGCGAGTGAGAGCAAGAGAGAGCTTGAGACAGAGCTAGAGAGAGAGAGGGTGGGAGAGGGAGAAAGGGAGCAGGACAGAGAGAGGGTGGTGTAGAAATCAAGCAAGACCAACCATTGGAGGATTCCTTCAGGCGCATAGCGGGCACTCCTATATAGCAGCTGTCCCTGAAAGGACCCCTTGTCCCTGCTCCCCTCCCTCTCCCTGCATTAGTGCTAATCTCCTGGCCACTTATTGATTTCCTGTGCAGGAGCAGATTACAGATGCTACTTGTGGGTGGGTGCCCACTCTGCTTGGCACAGCACAGCCTGCAGGAGAGGACCCAGGCTCAGGTCTGACAGGGCGTCCCTTTAGAAAGCCTGCTAAGAATAGCTATCAAGAGGCTTTGGGTTGCACATTGTCTGTTGGACAGTTTGGAATAATCTACATGATAAATACAAATAATTTTGAAGGATTTTAACTCTTGAATTTAACAGAATGATGCAAATGATTGAATTATGTTTTATTCCAATTGATTTTTCAACAATTAGGGCCATAAAATCATAATTTGCTGGAAATGTATTAAACTAGTGTGTTCACTGTCAAGTGCACCACACACAGAAAATATACAATTTGGCAAAATGGAGAGAAAATGTTAACATACCTTTTGGTCAAAGTTCTCAGGTGTCAGGAAGAAATGATAGAGCGGAACAAAGTAGCCCTCCAGCAGTCCCATCAGCAGAACCAGGTACACACCGTCAGCAAACTACAGATGAAAAAACCCAAAACATGGTTATTCATATCAATATACAAGTTGAGGTATGATTCTGGTTAGATAATTATAGTTCATATACTGTACCTGTGTGTCCAATTCAGCCACCTCCAGATTGAGCTTGTTCAAGTGTTTGTTCACAAAGGTGATGAGAGTCTGTGGAAACAGCAGCCATTTACAGTGTAAAGTATTTGGACAGTGACACATTTGTTGTTGTTTTGGCTCTGTTCTCCAGCACTTTGGATTTGAAAATGGTACAATACTATGATCTTAAAGTGCAGACTGTCAGCTTTAAATTGAGGGTATTTTCATCCATATCGGGAGAACCGTTTAGAAATTAGAGCACTTTTTGTACCTAGTCCCCCAATTTTAGAGAACCAAAAGTATTTGGACAAATTCAATTATACGTGTAAAATGTGATTTTCCTTTGTTTTATATATATTTCCAGACTAGGAGGTTGGAATAATACTGTGACATTTTGAAAATTATGATAATGTCCATTTAGTGTAAGAGCTGTTTGAAAAGACAGACATTTCAGCCTGTTTTGTTGGGATGGAGATTTGGTCTTCCATGGTGACATCACCATATGGTAAATTAGTTAATAGACCAATAAGAAAGAGAGTTCCAAACCTCTCTGCCAATAACAGCACATTTTCAATTTCCCCCTCCCTACTCAGACCACTCCCAGACAGTCCAAGCAAAATTATTGCTTGAAAAACTGGTCTTCGCTAAGAAGTTATTTTTTGTTTCTTTTTGACTATTTTAATTTAAAACAATCACAGTAAGGTACTTAATTGTTACCCAGAAATTATTTGATATGGAGATAAAAACGGCTGCATTGGACCTTTAAATTATTCAAACGTTTTGTATTTGGTCCCATATTCTTAATGTGCGACTCTACAAACTTGTTGGATGCATTTGCAGTTTGTTTTGGTTGTGTTTCAAATTATTTTGTGCCCAATAGAAATGAATGGTAAATAATGTATTTTGGAGGTTTTGAGTTTTTACCATTAATTTCTGTTCTAAATAATCTAAAACACAATCAAAACAAACTGCAAATGCATCCAACAAGTTTTAGTCACAAGCTTGATGTAGTCATTGCATGCTAGAAATATGGGACCAAATACAACACTTGACTACTTGAATTTGTCCAAATACTTTTGGATCCCTAAAATGGGGGGACTATGTACAATAATATAATAATAATAATATAATAATAATAATATAATATAATAATAATAATAATATAATAATAATAATATAATAATATAATATGCCATTTCGCAGACGCTTTTATCCAAAGCGACTTACAGTCATGCGTGCATACATTTTTTTTGTGTATGGGTGGTCCCGGGGATCGAACCCACCACCTTGGCGTTAAAAGCGCCGTGCTCTACCAGCTGAGCTACAGAGGACCACAACATGTGCTGTAATTTCTAAACTGTTCACCAGATATGGATGAAAATACCCTCAAATCAAAGCTGACCGTCTGCGCTTTAACCTCATAGTCATTGTAACATGTGCTGGAGTACAGCCAAAACAATAGCAAAAGTACAATAAAACACTGCTACAGTTTTAACAAATAACACACAGTACCTTTTTCACCACATTGAGCTTGTCTGGAGCATGGTCAAACAGGGTGTCGAAAGCATCTCGCTCTTAATGGACGGAGAGAACAGTAATACCGTTAATACAATGTAAAAAAAGGTCAAGGTTGTCAATGACAAGTACTGAAAACTGTGCTATGAAGACAAAAAATGTATATTGTTCACTGTGACTCATGAGAAAATGCATCAGTAGAGAATAAACAGTGAACACGTACCATGTCTCCCAGATAAAGCCCTGAGGGAAATGAGAAGTGAACTAGTTATAAACCTACATTTGGTCTGCAAGGACAGGTTGCAAAGAATTCAATTACATTTCTATATCAGCATACTTCTATTCTACAACTCCTATTGATACGTTTATCTCAACCAGATAAAGAGGAATGTTGGTGGTGAATACAGTAATGTTGATGGAGTACATAATAGGTTCACTTTAGTGAACATTTAACAAAATGGATGTGTCCATTGTGGCATTGTCAGAGGAGCCAGGCATGTTGGGTCGAGGGGCTGCTGCAACATCCCTACAGCTATCACACAAAGGAGGCCAACAAGGGATGGCTTGGACACACACACACACACACACACACACACACACACACACACACACACAGCACTCCTTCTCTTCATGGTGTAATCTCTAATGACAGTGGCAGGGCTGGGCAGCGGTCCAGGTCGTATGATAACAACCCTGTGACCATGACTATAATATGAGCGCTCTGCTCGCCCACTTATCTCCCCAGCTGCTCTGGGCTTGCTGGACCGCTCCAACCTCAGCTGGGGCTGTGCTACACTGGCAAGGAACCACACTTCCCTGTCCATACAATGGTCTACTGTGTTCATAGATGCTGGCGAAATAATTGTGCTTGAACACTTATAATAGAATGCAGTTATTTCAGAAAATAGCCTTTCATAAAGGCTGCAGGAGGGATTGCATTTGAGAGAGGAAAATCTATACATACTAAATATTGGAAATAAGATTGCATTGTGTTTTTGGGAGGGACAATGATATCATGTGGTGTACTAAGGTAAACCTCTCTCTATTTCTGACATAACAGACTGAGTGAGGAGTGAGAGTTCTCTCAATGAGAAAAGAGATGATCTGAGAGCTGACATACTCTGTATTGCCTGTGATCTCCTCCTGGATCTGGCGGGACTGAAGAATTCCCTCCCTTTTCTGAGAAAAAAGAAAGATAAAATGGCAAATGAAAAAGGAGAATCTGCCTTGCATTAAAGGGGACAATAATTGTATTTAAAGAGTAGGAGTATTTCATTATTATTCAACACATTTATAAGCATGTATAGCAAAGTTATTTTAACGTGTAACTAATATGCATACGACTTCAGATACTTAGGCTATTTCAAATGTCATCCATGTGTACTATATCTCAAGCCAAATAAGATGATGTACAGTACCTGAACCACCACTACTTGGATGGACACGTGGTCAGGAAGTCTGATTGGTGCTCTGAAGTGCTGAGACAGCGCCACCAACAGGTGAAGAATGGCCACTATACTCTTAGCATGGACAGCTGGACAAGAGACAGACAGAAAAGGGGATTTGCTTTAGCTTTGAATGATTGAAAGAACAATCAAGTAAACAAGGCTTTGATTTCTCCCTACTACAATGCTAAATTAAAGGAGAGGTATCTAAAAGCCCTCTGATATCTGTTTGATCCTCTCAGGCTAAGTGGATCAGAACAGAGGAGTGTGTTACATCCCCCTTAAGTGTTTTTCCCCAGCTTAAAAGAAGAGGTTGAAAGCAGGGAACAATTGCATCGATTCGGTTAGCACTTGGGTGACAAAAGTCTGCAGTACATTTTTATCAAAGACTCCAACATGTCATACAAGTGTTTCTCTTTTTGATGTAGTCATTTCATGCATTCATGCTCCTTTCAAAACAAACCTCTTACCTTGATGAATATGTACAGTGCCTTCAGAAAGTATTCATACCCCTTGACTTATTCCACATTTTGTTGTGTTAGAGCCTGAAGTCAAAATGGATGAAATAGATTTTTTTCTAGAGGTAGCCTAGCGGTTAAGAGCGTTGGGCCAGTAACCGAAAGGTTGTTGGTTTGAATAAATATTAACCAGTTAACCCCCAACAACAACTGCTCCCCGGGCGCCGATGATGTCGATTAAAGCAGACCCCCGCACCTCTCTGATACAGAGGGGTTGGGTTAAATGCGGAAGACACATTTCGGTTGAATGCATTCAGTTGTACAACTGACTAGGTATCTATCCACTTTCCCTACACACAACACCTATAATGACAAAGTGAAAACATGTTTTCAGAAATCTTTGCAAATGTATTGAAAATGAAATGCATACATTTCTTATTTACACAAGTATTCACACCTCTTTGCTATGACACTCCAAATTGAGCTCAGGTGCATCCAATTTCCTTTGATCATCCTTGAGATGTCACTACAACTTGGAGTCCACCTGTGGCCAATTAAATTGTTTGGACATGATTTAGAAATAAATATACCGGTCTATATAAGGTCCCACAGTTGACAGGGCATGAGTCTGTCCTCGGCTGCAACACTCACTACTGAGTTCCAAACTGCCTCTGGAAGCAACGTCAGCACAAGAACTGTTCGTCGGGAGCTTCATGAAATGGGTTTCCATGGCCGAGCAGCCGCACACAAGCCTAAGATCACCATGCGCAATGCCAAGCGTCGGCTGGAGTGGTGTAAAGCTTGCGCCATTGGACTCTGGAGCAGTGGAAACGCGTTCTCTGGAGTGATGAATCACGCTTCACCATCTGGCAATCCAACAGACAAATCTGGGTTTGGCGGTTGCCAGGAGAATGCTACCTACCTGAATGCATAGTGCCAACTGTAAAGTTTAGTGGAGGAGGAATAATGGTCTGGGGCTGGTTCGGGCTAGGCCCCTTAGTTCCAGTGAAGGGAGATCTTAACGCTACAGCATACAACGAAATGCTAAACGATTCTGTGCTTCCAACTTTGTGGCAACAGTTTGGGAAGGCCCTTTCCTGTTTCAGCATGACAATGCCCCTGTGCACAAAGCGAGGTCCATACAGAAATGGTTTGTCGAGATCGGTGTGGAAGAACTTGACTGGCCTGCACAGAGCCCTGACCTCAACCCCATCGAACACCTTTGGGATTAATTGGAACGCCGACTGCGAGCCAGGCCTACTCGCCCAACCTCACTAATGCTGAATGGAAGTCCCCGCAGCAATGTTCCAACATCTAGTGGAAAGCCTTCCCAGAATAGTGGAGGCTGTTATTGCAACAAATGGGGGGGATCAACTCCATATTAATGTCCATGATTTTGGAATGAAATGTTTGACGAGCTGGTGTCCACATACTTTTGGTCATTTAGTGTATCTGGGGAAGGGTATAAAACAATTTCTTGAGTGTTGAAAGTTTGCAAGAGCACAGTGGTCTCCATCACTGGGAAATAAAATACTCTGCCTTGAGATGGGAGAACCTGCCAGAAGGACAACAGTCTCTACAGCACTTCACCAATCTGGGCTTTATTGGAGAGTGGCCAGACGGAAGCCACTCCTGAGAAGAAGTCACATGACAGCACGCCTGGAGTTTGCAAAAAAAGGCACGTGAAAGACTTGGAGCATAAGGCAAAAGATTCTGTGGTCACTGTCATTATTGGGTATTGTGTGTAGATGAGTGAGATAAATATATTTAATCCATTTTGAATTCAGGCTGTAAGACAACAAAATGTGGAATAAGTTAAGGGGTATGAATACTTTCTGAAGGCACTGTATATTTCCTTGACTACTTCACTCATCAGTTTATCCCTCTCATTTTCTCATACAAACATGTTGCTAAAACAATTTCTGAGTGCTATTACCATCTTCTGGTTAAAAAGCTTTTATAAAATAGAGACATCAAGGCAAAACTAAAGTGCTTCACTGAAATGTAGACAGACAGACATTCCTCTTCATTAGAGTGAAAGCTCAATGGGAAGCAGAGAACTCAATGACCAGTGACACAAGTATGGACTCTTTACTAGCTGAATATCGATCCAGTATCCCTGCACATTGTAAATATGGTACTGGAACTGACCCTGTATATAGTATGCTTACTTAATTTGTGTTTTTCTTATTTTTATATCTTGTGTGTTTTTGTTCTACCTTGTTATTTTTAGTATTACATTGTTATTGATTACTGCATTGTTGGGGTTAGAGCTGGCAAGAAAGGCTTTTCACTGTACTTGTCTATGTGACATTAAAACTTGAAACATCACCCATGTATTCTAGGGCTGGGATGATAACAGTATCGCGATACTCGTTAGTATCGTGGCAAAGAAACAAAACACAAAGCGGATTTAACTTCTTTAGGGAAACAGCCCTAATGCTGGAAACAAACATTATTATGTTGTCATCCAGTCACATGTATTTATTTTCCAAGCTATAGCACACAATATTTTACATACAGCAGGTTTTTAAAAGGACCAAAGAGTTGGTTCTGCTTCGTGTTTTAATTTTTGTCATGGGAAAAATATTAAGATACTGGTATCATCACAGCCCTAATAAAATCATTTCATAAAATAGAGACATCAAGGCAAAGCTAAAGTGCTTCACTGAAATGTACAGACAGACACTCCTCCTCATTAGAGTGAAAGCAAAGGGAAGCAGAGAAAACTCAATCACCAGTGAGGAAAGTATGGAGTCCTAACTAGCTGAACATCACCCGCGTAGTCCATCTGTCTGACCACTTAGTCTGTCTCTCCAGGGCTGCATTCATTAGCACCAAACAGAGGAAAACCGACTGAAACATGGAGGGACTAGCTGAACCTGTCCAATAAAAACACTGATTTTAAATTTCCCCTTGCAAAACGTTTTGCTACTGTGTGCTCTAATGAATACGACATACACTGAACAAAAACAAACGCAACAATTTCAAAGATTTTACTGAGTTACAGTTCATATAAGGAAATCTGTCAATTTAAATAAATGTATTAGGCCCTCATCTATGGATTTCACATGACTGGGAATACAGATATGCATCTGTTGGTCACAGATACACTACATGACCAAAAGGATGTGGACACCTGCTTGTCGAACATCTCATTCCAAAATCATGGGCATTAATATGGAGTTGGTCCCCCCTTTGCAGCTATAACAGCCTCCACTCTTCTGGGAAGGCTTTCCACTAGATGTTGGAACATTGCTGCGGGGACTTTCTTCCATTCAGCTACAAGAGCATTAGTGAGGTCGGCCACTTATGTTGGGCGATTAGGTCTGGCTCGTAGTCGGCATTCCAATTCATCCCAAAGGTGTTCGATGGGGTTTAGGTCAGGTCTCTGTGCAGGCCAGTCAAACTCTTCCACACCGATCTCAATAAACCATTTCTGTATGGACCTCGCTTTGTGCATGGGAGCATTGGCATGTTGAAACAGGAAAGGGCTTTCCCCAAACTGTTACCACAAAGTTGGAAGCACAGAATCGTCTATAATGTCATTGTCACGCCTAGACGTTTCCACTTCACAATAACAGCACTTACAGTTGACCGGGGCAGCTCTAGCAGGGCAGAAATTTGACTGACTTGCTGGAAAGGTGCCATCCTATGACGGTGTCACGTTGAAAGTCACTGAGCTCTTAAAAATATATAGTCGATTCCAGCAATTTGAAGGGTCAGTATCTGGTGACTACCATTTGCCTCATGCAGCGCGACACATCTCTGCATCTCATAAAATGACGTTGGAGGCGGCTTATGGTAGAGAAATGAACATTCAATTCTCTGGCAACTCTGGTGGACATTCCTGCAGTGAGTATGCCAATTGCACACTCCCTCAAAACTTGAGACATCTGTGGCATTGTGTTGTGTGACAAAACTGCACATTTTTGAGTGGCCTTTTTTTGTCCCCAGCACAAGGTGCACCTGTGTAATGCTCATGCTGTTTAATCAGCTTCTTGATATGCCACACCTGTCAGGTGGATGGATTATCTTGGCAAAGGAGAAATGCTCACTAACAGGGATGTAAACAAATTTGTGTAGAACATTTGAGAGAAATAAGCTTTTTGTCCGTATGGAAAATTTCAGGGATATTTTATTTCAGCTCATGAAACATGGGACCAACACTTTACATGTTGCGTTTATATTTTTGTTCAGTGTAGTTCTCAGCCTCTACTTACAGTCCACGTTCCATTTGATGCTCCTGGCGGAGATCTTGATGGAGTCGTTGATCCTCTCCAGAACTGTCTGCAGCTTCTGCTTCTGGGCGATCTCTGACTGGGTCACCTCAGCCACGTTCAGTTTCTCACCCTCCAGCTTCTCTGAGACACGCATATAAAGACAACAGCATTCATTAATTTGGTCAGTGGTCTTCTTTAGCATAAATACAGGCATTCCTGTCAAAGAGAGAAAGGCCAGAGGGAGAAGGTGATTGGTAGTAGAGTGGAATTAGTGTTCCTTTAAGTTTGATGGAGAACCAATAAGGGACTTGTTCCTCACCGAAGAGTTTCTGCAGAACCTGCCCGTCGTATAGATCCTCAGCCAGGTCCTTCACGATGATCCTCTCTCCTACCAACACATCATTGATCCAGTCGATCAGCACCTTCTGGAGTTCCTGTAGTTTGCTATCGTTCTTGGAGTTGGGGTCAACCATGGTGCGGACCTCATTCTCCTCTGTAGAAACAGAAAGAACGGTTGGGTATAGCCAGTGTCAAGACATTTCATAATTTATGACCAGGGCTCTCAGATTGGGATAGATGGTGTACTGTACTGTGCTGTACTTACCTAGCATGGTGTCCTCTGGGTCCAGTTCATATTGGGTGGGGCTCAGGGGCAGGTTGATGGCGTTCATTCCTTCCTCCTGGAGCTCAGACACTGTAGGGAAGGAGGGAGAGATGGGAGAGAGACCACACCACATCACTCACAATGCACCCTCTCAAACCTCCACCTTTCAGTGCAATAGCTATAAATTCACATAGCAAAGGAGGCGGTACAAACAGTAAGCCACTTACAACCTGTGATGATTCTACGAAAAAGGCTTTATACAATTTAGACTACTACTACTACTACATGTTTCTTTTTGCTCTTATTTTAGTGTCAGTGAGAATTCTGCCAGTATGACCAATCCACCAGAAATAAGTGTGAAGGTCAGGGGGACAATGAGAGGATGTTGTTAAGGCGGGGGACATGTGGGTTCCCAACTACTGGGATAAGGATTTCAAAATTGGCACCATCCTCTCTGAAGTGCTTCCTAACAGAACATGATAGCACTGCAATAGTGTTCCCACACCACTAATACACTAGCTAACTACTCCCACAGCCATTTGGTCCAAATAGCCTAGCATTAACACAGGAGCAGAATTGGGCTTTGCTTGCTTTATCATGTCGAATACGGTATGTTATTGAGGTGTAGTGGTTCTTTCTGTAAGTGGTTTCACCCACTGGTTTCTCTGTCTTTCCTCAAGGAATATGGACTTTCCCTCACCTGCAAATGGGAAAAACACTGCAATTTTATCTTAAGTCTAGGAAAAGCCCTTCTTCTGTCCTCCAGACAGGCATTTCCTCAGTCTACTACTTACTGGGCCTCCTCCAGCCACATACGCTTGTCCTCCCAAGGTTATTTCTCACAACAGAGGAGAGATGTTCTAAAGGGGATGATTCTTATTGTTTTTTTCCTTAGCTCACTGCACCAGCTCAGCTTTCTGTGTCACCGTTCCTGAATCTACTTATCTGATCTGACACTGTTCTCAGTTAATCAAGACAATATAATTTCCCCATCTGTTAGTCTTGGATATCCCCGACCTTGGAGCAACGTAAGCCTATAGGCATTCAAAGATTGTGGAAGTAAGCAGTCTGGCTCGAGAGATCTGTTATTAGCCTATTTATTACACAGAACTTCCTGGTTTCCCATCAACCCCTGCCCTGCCATGCATTTCAACATACTGCTGTGTGTCAGACAGTGTCAGTGACACCTGTAATGGTGTGAACATCCTGTGCTGGATTTCTCAGCCTTCCTTCCCAGTGAGGATGACATCCTCTTAATCAACACCATCAGCAGCCCTTTTGAAGACCGCCATTGAGCACCATATCCTCCTGTGTCCTGACAGCACGACGCATCCCTTCTCTCAGATATAATTGTATGACTGAAAATTGCCTGCATTAGCGTGTGTCTACACAATAAGAGGTATTATCACTGCCCTTTCTACCACCCCTTTACACTGTCTCCACACACAATGTCCTCTTGACCAGTGGTGATTTGCACAGAGCATGTGATGCTGCAAGGTGGGCTGCTAATCCTAGCCAAGACCTGCTACAGAGACACTGGGTCTCCTTTCCTCATCTCCTTCCTTCATATGTACTGATATGAAGGAGCTGGATGGGTGAAAACCAATACCTAGTAGGTATCCACCATATTGCTTTCAGCTATCCTGCAACGTCATCCGTGTGTTAATGGAGGAACGGAAACCAGCAAAAGATGCCCCTTTAGATTATTGAGACACAGCCACAGTGTTTCTCCTTCCTCTCCTCATGCTCCGGCGGAGGGTAGGTGAATAGTAACAGGCTGTCCTACCTGGTGGGCAGAGTGCTCCACAGCCCATCTCTCCTCTGAGTTCCCAGCATCTTCTCTTTACTGACTCGTCTCCTCAAGCCCGTTCAGTGTCCACTGTCCTGTCTATAACACTCTCCATCTATTCCTCCCTCTCTCGGCAAGGTCCAATCAATGGGCTTGTTCAAGGCCGTGGCTGTGCCCCCTCTCTTCGTCCCCATCGTAAACGTCAGAGTTTTTCAAATTAAATATACTGCTGCCACATGTGTCCAAAGAGGCTTTCCATCAAATCACCAGGAACACACTGCAGACATCCTGGCCACTGTGCTCCTCTGTGTGCGTGTTAGAGGGAGAGATAGGATGGGGCTCAGCTGTAACTGTGTCAGCCACTCAGCCCTGTGACCCCTGATTTACACAAACCAATTATAACACAAGTGCACTCTTGGAACAGGACAAATCAAGAGGGAACATTTCCACTTAACGTGCAAAAGGCTTTAATTCATTTAATGATAAACGTGTGGAAAAACAATGGATGGAGCAACTCATTCATTTATAGGTTTGGAAATGCTGTAACAGTGAAATAAAGGACATGTATTGGCAGTACAGATGCTCCTGGAGTTGTGTTAGCTCTTGCCTCATTCCTGAGTAATTGCTCTGAAGTAGCAGCCTGGTCTCATAGACTAGACGTAACATACTAAATGGAAATCCGTGACCCTCAAATTAGTATGATATGTTACTTTTTGTATGGTTACATAAGACAGAAGGTTACTTAATGTAAAAACGAAAGGAGGGTGATTGGTCGGGCAAATAACGCAAACGTCTAGCAACCCAAAGGTTGCGTGTTCGAATCTCATCACGGACAACTATAGCAACTTTGCAGATACTTACTACTATTGAGGTACTTTGCATGTTAGCTTACCCTTTCCCTAACTGTTTAACCTAACCGTAATCTTAATTATTCCATGATATCATTTCTGATCAGTTATGATGAGGCACTTTTGTTTGTTTGCCGCCATCTCTATTGAAGGGTGTTGCACTACTCTGTTGCGCTTGTCGCAGGTAAAACCATGTGCGGTTATTATGAGCAAGACAACGTCGAATGTTGGCTTCAACATAAAGCGTTCCATTACAAAAGGAACCCGATTTTAACTTAACTTGGCAATGTCTGTATGAACCCTGTATAGGCTACTTGCTCAGCCCCCAAATGAAAGATAAAATCACCTGGTATTGAAATTATACACGCATCATTCACTTTTCTGTCAGATCTTGACCCGGGCCAGTACATTTTTCCATTTGGGTCAGTAGCTTTCAGTTGGCACTGGCCTAGTGTGCCATTGCCAAGTTTACCTGAATGTCAAGCCCCGCTGTGTGTGGTGCGCGTAGGGCCTATATGTGTACCACTTTGTGTAGCCATTAGCGATGCTAATGATACAGTGGGGGAAAAAAGTATTTAGTCAGCCACCAATTGTGCAAGATCTCCCACTTAAAAAGATGAGAGAGGCCTGTAATTTTCATCATAGGTACACGTCAACTATGACAGACAAATTGAGAAAAGAAAATCCAGAAAATCACATTGTAGGATTTTTTATGAATTTATTTGCAAATTATGGTGGAAAATAAGTATTTGGTCACCTACAAACAAGCAAGATTTCTGGCTCTCACAGACCTGTAACTTCTTCTTTAAGAGGCTCCTCTGTCCTCCACTCGTTACCTGTATTAATGGCACCTGTTTGAACTTGTTATCAGTATAAAAGACACCTGCCCACAACCTCAAACAGTCACACTCCAAACTCCACTATGGCCAAGACCAAAGAGCTGTCAAAGGACACCAGAAACAAAATTGTAGACCTGCACCATGCTGGGAAGACTGAATCTGCAATAGGTAAGCAGCTTGGTTTGAAGAAATCAACTGTGGGAGCAATTATTAGGAAATGGAAGACATACAAGACCACTGATAATCTCCCTCGATCTGGGGCTCCACGCAAGATCTCACCCCGTGGGGTCAAAATGATCACAAGAACGGTGAGCAAAAATCCCAGAAACACACGGGGGGACCTAGTGAATGACCTGCAGAGAGCTGGGACCAAAGTAACAAAGCCTACCATCAGTAACACACTACGCCGCCAGGGACTCAAATCCTGCAGTGCTAGACGTGTCCCCCTGCTTAAGCCAGTACATGTCCAGGCCCGTCTGAAGTTTGCTAGAGTGCATCCAGAAGAGGATTGGGAGAATGTCATATGGTCAGATGAAACCAAAATATAACTTTTTGGTAAAAACTCAACTCGTCGTGTTTGGAGGACAAAGAATGCTGAGTTGCATCCAAAGAACACCATACCTACTGTGAAGCATGGGAATGAAAACATCATACTTTGGAGCTGTTTTTCTGCAAAGGGACCAGGACGACTGATCCGTGTAAAGGAAAGAATGAATGGGGCCATGTATCGTGAGATTTTGAGTGAAAACCTCCTTCCATCAGCAAGGGCATTGAAGATGAAACGTGGCTGGGTCTTTCAGCATGACAATGATCCCAAACACACCGCCCGGGCAACGAAGGAGTGGCTTCGTAAGAAGCATTTCAAGGTCCTGGAGTCTCCAGATCTCAACCCCATAGAAAATCTTTGGAGGGAGTTGAAAGTCCGTGTTGCCCAGCGATAGCCCCAAAACATCACTGCTCTAGAGGAGATCTGCATGGAGGAATGGGCCAAAATACCAGCAACAGTGTGTGAAAACCTTGTGAAGACTTACAGAAAATGTTTGACCTGTGTCATTGCCAACAAAGGGTATATAACAAAGTATTGAGAAACTTTTGTTATTGACCAAATACTTATTTTCCACCATAATTTGCAAATAAATTCATTAAAAATCCTTGCAATGTGATTTTCTGGATTTTTTTTCCTCATTTTGTCTGTCATAGTTGACGTGTACCTATGATGAAAATTACAGGCCTCTCTCATCTTTTTAAGTGGGAGAACTTGCACAATTGGTGGCTGACTAAATACTTTTTTTCCCCACTGTAGCCTAACCGTTTTTGGGTAGATGGAAAGGCAATTCAAAGGTAACTACGAAGTAGCCTATGCCTACCTGGCAGAATCATGATTATTTGAATCAATCCTGGCCATTTGCTTTGAAAACTCCATCACAAGTGCGCTACAGAAACACCGCTAGCCAAACAAAACGGTCTGACTGATGCTCACCTGAATTAAACGGTAACTACACAAAACTAGAGGAAATCAGTCCTTCCCCCAACTTTATTTTTTTGGGGCCGTGGTATCATTTTGGTATCAAGTATCGTTTTTTATTTTCTGCCCTCATAAAAGTACATATGGCACTTTGAAATTTGCAATAAATACATTTTGCACTTTATTTTAATATACTTTCTTTGCTGTTACAGTAAATCGATCCAAATCAATGTAAGAACACAAGGGCATGCTGATGTAAAAGATGGCTAGTCATTATTAGCCTGGTTCTGTATGGAATGCAGACACATTATGGGACACAGGCCAGGTCATTATTAATAAATAAATACAAATATATATATATATATAAAATTGGTGCGACAAAATCATGTGCTGGTGCTACCAACGGGGGAAAAAAGTTGGTAGCACCAGTGGAAAAACAGTGTAGAACACTGCCCTAAGCCAGCTAACTTTTGCCACCTAGCTAACGTTAGCATTAGCCACCTAGCTAATGTTAGCCACAACAAATTGCAATTCGTAACATATCATACATATTACAAATTCTTAACATATTGTACAAGTTGCAATTCGTAACATATCATACCAATTGTAATTAATAACAAATCATACGAAATGGATGGACATCCACAAATTAATACATACCAAACGTAAAATATCATACTAATTTCAGTGTCCCAGATTTTCGTTTACTATGTTAGATCTACCTCTAAGTATAGGTTGCAGCAGTAGTGTTCCCTACATGGCAATCATAGCCTGCAGCTATAGTAAATAGCCCTACTGTAGTAAGTACTCTAGTAATGTAGTACTCTAGTAGCTCTACTAGGCGCTGCACTGTATGCACCCCCGGGCTGCCCTGCAGGTCAACACAATACAAGAAAGTTGAAATACAAGACATTATTTGAGTGTATTGGCTAGTTTACAGACAGGCCTATTTATTATGTAGCCTAGATAAGCCCCGAGGCTACTCCATTCTGATATCGTCAATGAATGTGCAGTGGGGAAAGCGTGCAGGCGAATTCGTTTTAGCTTTACCAGTAATGAATTGACAGAATCAAACTGAGTAGACAATAGATTGGGTTGTGAAACATTGCTGTAGCTAGCAAGTTCAAATGGGCCATAAAATAAACATTTTCTTCATGTCCTTTGCCGTTTAGTTTACACACACAACTGCTCGCAAGTGAAGTTTATACATGTTTTTGACAGTATTGTTTTGATCTGAACTTTACCTTCTTTTGCTTTCTTTCTTCTTACTAAAGTTCCTCCAAGTTTTCCCAGGAACGAGTCATCTTTTTTTCTGGAAGAGGGAGATTTCGGAGTCGACGGCGATTTGGGAGAGGACGGCGACTTTTCCGGCGAAGAAGCCATGATCCAATTTAGCCAAAGCTCAAAAGGTACAACCAAAAATTACACGTTAAGTAGATCTCTGAATTACATTGATTTAAGTCACGTTCTGTTCGAATCAATGTTCACTCCCAGTCCCTATAACGGAAACGGAATTCCAAACATTCGTCCAGCCTCGACTCATTTCCTTGATCACAGATCTAGTTCCCTTCCCTATATTGCGTAAATAAAACCCTAATGGCTGATTACTTTGTAGCACATAGTTTGCCCCTGCATGCATTGACAAATACATTTTTCTGGTAGTATCAGTAAGGATGGATAGACATTGTTATAGCCTTTTTTCTAATGCCACCATATGAGATCTCTCAATATTATGTAATATCCATAAATCATGACCAAATACACTTCAATTCATAAACATCTTTATGAAATAAATCGTATTTTTACAGATTAAAAATAAACAGCAACAGATCAGTCTGTCAGTTTAGGATTTAATACATCATTTATTGTGCTCAGCAGAGACCCCTAAACTCTTATCAAACTAAATAAATTGAACCAACAGATACAATCATAATTTACATGAAAAAAGTTGGGCAAAGAGGACTCATAAAAGTGAATACAATCATGTTGGTTGTGGTCAGTACTGAGTAGTAGGCAACAGACAACATGCAGGAATAATACTAAAAAGTCCTGTGGAAAATTATAAACATGGACACCCATTACCTTCACTGACACTGTCTCAACTTGGTGTATTGGTTGATTAAGCTACTTGGTATAGTGCAGATTAAGTTATACAACATACAGTAGTTTTTCCAGTGCTCCTCAACACAACAGCAACAACACAACATGAAAAGTAGAGACCCTACAGTAGAGACCTACAATAGACACCTACACATATAAGACACATTTTGCTTTGAGAGGGAAAACATATTTGATAGGATGAAGTAGTGTTTATAAGTGCTTTCCAGTGCAACTGACAAAGTATATCTATATATATTTGTAATAATAATATATTTCATTTATTCCATTCATACGGCGGCATACATTCTGAGGTGTTCTTGGTTAGGCATACAGTAATCTCAGAAGGCTGTCAAGAGAGACTAGGCATACAGACACTGGATGTACAACCCTCATGTCCATAAGAGATGTGATCCTCAAGTAGGAATTGACAAGTAAAACCTATATACAGTGGGGGGGAAAAGTATTTAGTCAGCCACCAATTGTGCAAGTTCTCCCACTTAAAAAGATGAGAGAGGCCTGTAATGTTCATCATAGGTACACGTCAACTATGACAGACAAATTGAGAGAGAAAAAATCCAGAAAATCACATTGTAGGATTTTTTATGAATTTATTTGCAAATTATGGTGGAAAATAAGTATTTGGTCACCTACAAACAAGCAAGATTTCTGGCTCTCACAGACCTGTAACTTCTTCTTTAAGAGGCTCCTCTGTCCTCCACTCGTTACCTGTATTAATGGCACCTGTTTGAACTTGTTATCAGTATAAAAGACACCTGTCCACAACCTCAAACAGTCACACTCCAAACTCCACTATGGCCAAGACCAAAGAGCTGTCAAAGGACACCAGAAACACAATTGTAGACCTGCACCAGGCTGGGAAGACTGAATCTGCAATAGGTAAGCAGCTTGGTTTGAAGAAATCAACTGTGGGAGCAATTATTAGGAAATGGAAGACATACAAGACCACTGATAATCTCCCTCGATCTGGGGCTCCACGCAAGATCTCACCCCGTGGGGTCAAAATGATCACAAGAACGGTGAGCAAAAATCCCAGAACCACACGGGGGGACCTAGTGAATGACCTGCAGAGAGCTGGGACCAAAGTAACAAAGCCTACCATCAGTAACACACTACGCCGCCAGGGACTCAAATCCTGCAGTGCCAGACGTGTCCCCCTGCTTAAGCCAGTACATGTCCAGGCCCGTCTGAAGTTTGCTAGAGTGCATTTGGATGATCCAGAAGAGGATTGGGAGAATGTCATATGGTCAGATGAAACCAAAATATAACTTTTTGGTAAAAACTCAACTCGTCGTGTTTGGAGGACTAAGAATGCTGAGTTGCATCCAAAGAACACCATACCTACTGTGAAGCATGGGGGTGGAAACATCATGCTTTGGGGCTGTTTTTCTGCAAAGGGACCAGGACGACTGATCCGTGTAAAGGAAAGAATGAATGGGGCCATGTATCGTGAGATTTTGAGTGAAAACCTCCTTCCATCAGCAAGGGCATTGAAGATGAAACATGGCTGGGTCTTTCAGCATGACAATGATCCCAAACACACCGCATAAGAAGCATTTCAAGGTCCTGGAGTGGCCTAGCCAGTCTCCAGATCTCAACCCCATAGAAAATCTTTGGAGGGAGTTGAAAGTCCGTGTTGCCCAGCGACAACCCCAAAACATCACTGCTCTAGAGGAGATCTGCATGGAGGAATGGGCCAAAATACCAGCAACAGTGTGTGAAAACCTTGTGAAGACTTACAGAAAACGTTTGACCTGTGTCATTGCCAACAAAGGGTATATAACAAAGTATTGATAAACTTTTGTTATTGACCAAATACTTATTTTCCACCATAATTTGCAAATAAATTCATTAAAAATCCTACAATGTGATTTTCTGGATAATTTTTTCTCATTTTGTCTGTCATAGTTGACATGTACCTATGATGAAAATTACAGGCCTCTCATATTTTTAAGTGGGAGAACTTGCACAATTGGTGGCTGACTAAATACTTTTTTTCCCCACTGTACATATTCGAAAGTTCATCATGCCACTTGTGGCCAAATCCAGTAGTGTAGTCACTAGTAGTGGTCACTTATCTCCTCTACCCGTAGAGCTGCATGGTACTGTTATCCTTTTCCTTGCCCCAGAGGGCTGCTCCTCCTCAGGTCCAGTGGAATTGGTAGCCCCTAGACAGCACCAGGCTCTCCAGGTCTCTGTCCTCAGCCCTCTCCTGCACCCGCTGCTCCTCCAGCAGGCTGACCAGAGTGTCTCTCCTCTCCACCACCTTCATGATCTCTGTCAGCATCTGCTGCTCCTCCGCCAGCTCACTGGAGCTCTTCCTGGAGTCTGCAAAGGGCCATGGAGGAGGAGAGATTGTAGAATGGTAGAGGAGGGGGGTATGAAGACAGACAGATGGACAAAGTAGGACATGGTCATTTAGAACACAGTCTCAAAAAGTTCCACGGATAAAGGGCTGCAAACGTATTGCAACAGTTGTAAGTGCAGGATTTGTAACTATACTCGAGTTGCACAGTACTACCCTACAATTACACAGTGTATGACCCATACCATCTATGGACATCCTGCATCGTAGATCTGTCTGTAGTTGACTCTGTCTGTCCTCCAGCTCGAGTTCCTGAGCACTAACAGACAAAACAACCCATTTCAAACACGCTTCACTCCATAAGATGGTCTGTGTCTGAGAATGCACTGTGCCTCATCTTTTCCTACTTACAATATGACTAGCTCTTCCTCGTAGCGTGCCAGTTTGTTCTTCTCCAGGACCAGCTTGAACCACATTTGAAGGAGCTCGTGCTCATCAGAGAGACCATCACCTTTGTCTGATAGAGGGAGAGAGCAAGGTCACAATCAGCTACCCCAGATAATATAGAAGTTTGATCATCCTGTTTCTTCATTCCTCATTACGTCCAAGGTCGATTAATAAGCACCCTGTCACAAGGTTATACAGTAGATGGCCATAGTAATGGTCCTGTAACCCCTGGCCTGTTGCAACTGAGACACTCACGTAAATACTGACTTTAGACTTCATAAAACACTTTATAATAGAGCTTCAAAAGTTAACTTTGAAAAATGTAATAACATGACAGTGTAACCTGCGGACAACAGGCTAAAGGTATTTATTTAGACATTCTCCCTGCTAGTGAGTCATTTAAACTATGGTAAAAAGAGGGCAGTCTAATTGCTTTCGTTAGTGGGAGACTCTGGATCTGGAGCTAGCTATGTGTTTTATGTCACAGATACTAACACTGACTACAGCTACACTGAAACAGACCCATTCGTAGAGTGTGTTTGATTGAATGACGGCTCCTAATGCTTCTAATTCGTTGCTATATCTTCTGAACCATTATACTCGGCCTTCATTGTCAGACAGTTGAGGAAACATTTTCTCTCCCTTTGCCGTATACTGTACAGCACTGTGAACCCTGTAGCTCAGTTGGTAGAGCATGGCGCTTGCAACGCCAGGGTTATGGGTTCGTTTCCCACGGGGGGCCAGTATGAAAATGCATGCACTCACTAACTGTAAGTCGCTCTTGATAAGAGCGTCAGCTAAATGACTGGCCTTCGAATACCCCTGCAAACATCCATTGATTGAACAATGACAAATAAAGGGAGACTGCCATAAAAAAGCCTAAAAGCATTGCGTTCATTTTTTCATACTTAGAATCTTGCCAAGCACATACACTCAGGTCATTGTCTGACACCTACTCCTACCCTCTTGCTATCCAGTCGGAGTCTGTGAATAATATAAATTAACAAAGAGCCCATTGAGCTATGAGACCTTCACCCTCTGCCTTAATTCAGTTATCCAAACAAAGCCATGTAAACAGGCACAATGGTCGCCACTGCTGCCGCTGCCCTTCAGGCCCGCATCACAAGAGACACTCTCCCTGTAGTTTTTGAATCAGAATTTGCAAGGCCATTCACTGTACTCACTGGTACTTAGACAAGAGACACTCCGTCTCTGTGGAGGCTTTTAACATTGAGCCTGACTATTGAACAAAACATGGAATTCAGAAAGGTCTTTACACAGATGTGCTTTCCATTTAACAATAGAAGGACAAACTTGGATGAAACAATTGCATTACTCAGGGCTAAGTTTGTGTGCTTTTTATGTGCTGTAATTTAAATGTAATTGTAATAAAAGTAACAGCTAATTATGCTTAAACTCTCAAATCATTCTTTCTCTGAAGAGTGCAGAAGCAACAAACACATTTCTAATTTACAATTCTGGCAAAATATAATTGACTTTGAGGAATATGATTACCAGTATGAAAACATTACTTTTTAAAAGACTAGCAGGAATTACAATTTTTCATTCTAAAATAGCTGTCTTTAATGGCTAACTTGTATATCACCATGTGCAAGGCTAATGGGCCGTACGCACTACAGAGGGTAGTGTGTACGGCCCAGTAAATCACTGGGGCCAAGCTTCCTGCCATCCAGGACCTCTATACCAGGCGGTGTCAGAGGAAGGCCCTAAAAATTATCAAAGACTCCAGCCACCCTAGTCAAAGACTGTTCTCTCTGCTACCGCATGGCAAGCGGTACCGGGCTTCTTAACAGCTTCTACCCCCAAGCCATAAGACTCCTGAACAGCTAATCATGGCTACCCAGACTATTTGCATTGCCCCCCACACCAACCCCCTCTTTTACACTGCTGCTACTCTGTTTATTATTTATGCATAGTCACTTTAACTCTACCCACATGTACATATTTACATTTTAGTCATTTAGCAGACGCTCTTATCCAGAGCGACTTACAGTTAGTGAGTGCATAATTTTTTTTCTCTCATATTACCTCAATTACCTCGACTAACCGGTGCCCCCGCACATTGACTCTGTACCGGTACCCCCTGTATATAACCTCCCTACTGTTATTTTATTTTACTGCTGCTCTTTAATTATTAGCTTTTTTTTTTACTGCATTGTTGGTTAACGGCTTGTAAGTAAGCATTACACTGTAATGTCTACACCTGTTGTATTCGGCGCATGTGGCAAATACAATTTGATTTCCCCCATCCTCCCTCTCTTCACAAGGCCAATTGCCACCGCAGTGATTTCTAAACAATTTCAACTTAAAATTGTTATTTTTGGTTGAATGCAAATGACTATAATTTGGTATCGTTTTTATTATGTATTTTCCTAGCAAAGGCATCAGAGTAGTACTGACTGTATAGGCCTACTATAGATAAGGAAATTGAAATAATTATTAGAAAAGCATTGCCTCTATCAAACCTCACAGAAACAGGACAACTATTCCTGAGCATAGGTCATTCTGAATCCAGTGTTTCCATGTCTCAACTATATGTTCTTGGCTGAGGTCAAACTAAGATAGTTCCATTACAAACCGTACCTTTCTCCGCTCTCTTTGCCATGTATTTGCATGTTACCTTCAGAGTTAAGGCCTCTCTGATGCAAGGACATGACAACACTCAGTTACTGAACATTCTGATTCTAACCCTTCCATTCCATTGTCATACATTTATAAAATGCTCTGGCCCAGAGTCATAAAGCTACGTCAACCAAATGGATACACTTGTGTCACTCATACGCAGTGCAGCTGGAATCAATCCACACAGCATGGGATGACAAACGTACAGTGCTCTCCAAAGGTACAGTACATGCTGTTGGGACTGTGTGGCTTACCATGGGCTTCGCCCCGAAGGACCTTCTCAATGGTCACCCCTCTCTCCTCCAGGTCTCTCTGCTTCTCCCCCACTTCCTCCAGCTGCCTTTGGATGACCTTCACACAATAAACACCAGGTCAGATTCAACCAAGGCAAGCTCACAATGGCTCAACACACAATATTTATATCCCATTCATCATCCCAACAAATCAAATATATTTGTTGAAGAGATCATTAGTGATTCAAATGTATGAGAGAAACCTAATTATAAACTGGGTGGTTCGAGCCCTGAATGCTGATTGGCTGACAGCCGTGGTATATCAGACCGTATACCACGTGTATGACAAAACATTTATTTTTACTGCTCTAATTCTGTTGGTAACCAGTTTATAATAGCAATAAGGCACCTCAGGGGTTTGTGGTATATGGCCAATATACTGTACCTCGGCTAAGGGCTGTATCCAGGCACTCCGCGTTGCGTCGTGCCTAAGAACAGCCCTTAGCCGTGGTATATTGGCCATATACCACACCCCCTCTGGTCTTATTGCTTAAATATAAAACATGTAAATGAATGGAAAATGAACACGGAAGGCCTCTGTGTGGTAGTGCTGTTCTGTTGTCTATGTGCTCTATAGTACCTGGGCTCTGTGGAGCCTCTTCAGCTGCTCTCTCTTGGCCTGTTGAATCACAGTCTTCTCCCGTCTCCTCCTCTGTCTCTCCGAGCTCCCATGGAACTAAACACAGACCAACAAGACAGTGTCACACAACTGTTACCTCACACCAGAGTTAAACCCCTCTGATCTTAGTCTCAACTATTAGGGGTCTGGGGATATCAATCTAATAGAGTATCTTATCAGTCATGCGCTTGACCTGCACTTGATCCTGACCTGACGGAAGTAGCAGAGATGGTTAGAAAGTGGCAGGGATGTAGCTCAGTTGGTAGAGCGTGGCGTTTGCAACGCCAGGGTTGTGGGTTTGATTCCCACGTGGGGCCAGTATGAAAAAAAAAGATATATATTTAATGTATGCACTCACTAACTGTAAGTCGCGTCTGCTAAATGACTAAAAATGTAGTAATTCTGTTAAGTAAACAAGGCAGTTCCTAACAGAGAGTTGCAAAACGGTGCTCAAAATAAGAGGGTGGTATGTGTGTGGTATGCTGTGAAGCCATGGCCAAGACCTATTACAACACCAGAGTGGGATTTCCTCCCCATATGTAAGGTGATATGAGCAGGTCATGATGTGCTTCTTCAGCCTTCCCAGTAATCCCTCTCTAATGGAGTATGGATTATCTGTTCTCGGGTCCTGACCGGTCTCTTCATGCCTCTTCTGTATCCTCCGCCTTGAGGAGAGCTGCTTTTAATCACTGATCTGACTTGACATGGATTGGTGTAGGTAAGCTTTCCACTGCATTGCTTTCACCCGTTATTTATTTTTATTTATTATGTTTCATTCGTTCTATCGGTTCAGTTGCTAGAGACGCGACCCAGTTGTTCAGTCTTTTTGTTCTGTATCTATGGACGCAACCCAGTCGTTCGTTCTAAATGTTCCATTGCCATACTGGCTGGCAACGTGCTTATCCCTTGCTTGCTAGCTAGCCAACTACGGCTAATTTACAGTCACGTCAAAAAGTGCAGCCAGAATAACAGCAAAGTAGCTGCATTTGCATAAGCTGTTTTCTAGAGACATTTATTTGGATACATCCATAACAATGAGCTAATGAGGCGCGATTTCACCTGTCATAGAACATGTGCTCTTTCGTCAGGACATTGTTGTTCAGAGGAACTAGCCAACACAGCTAACACAATCACTTCAAACTGAAACTGGAAAGACCGCAAACTAGCTGCACTTCGTTTTGTTTGACCTTTTTTCAATTGATATTTCTTTGTGTATATATATATACACAAAGAAATATCAATTGAAAAAAGGTCAAACAAAACGAAGTGCAGCTAGTTTGCGGTCTTTCCAGTTTCAGTTTGAAGTGATTGTGTTAGCTGTGTTGGCTAGTTCCTCTGAACAACAATGTCCTGACGAAAGAGCACACATACATATATATATATATATCCATTAAAATAAAAATGATGCCAGCTGATTCATGATTTCGACTGGCTGAGAAACGCTGCCTGCCTGTCTGTCTAATCCCGACACGTTCATTACTATGGGACAGCTGGAGATCGAATTTGAATATTGAAACAATGTTGCAAATGTCAGAGATAGACGGCAAGGTTTATACAAATCTCCGCTGTTGAAAACTAAATGTTAATCTAAAAGGAATGTGAGATAATGTCTAATTGCTTTTTATAGTGGAGATAAAGTTTTGCCTGGCTTGGGCTGATGAGACAGTGGATTGCGCAGTCAGATGGAACAGAGTAAATAAGCATTTTAACATCATAGATTTAGCCGGTGGTAACTTGTGCAATAGACACCGGCTGGAATGTGGTTTTACCAATCAGCATTCAGGATTAGACCCACCCGTTGTATAAAGAATACATCTAGACATGGAAACATTATGTACAAAACAGAAAAATGTCATACAAACATCAGGACATAGGAGACATGTTTCAACACAGAAGTCAAAACATTGCACATGGAAACACATTGCTATTGGATAGAAATTGTAATATACCTAATAAAAAACTTTTAATGTCATGATCAGTGATTACTTCAGAGAAAGGTAGGAAGGAAAGATGCATGTAAGCCTTTTGGAACAAGGCCCTTACCTTCTGTTTGGCTGGGACGTGCTCATCGTCACTTGAGGAGTCCGACTCATCCTTCTGCTGTTTGCTTGAGGCTGTGTATAGATGAGGGAACATGAGGACATTAGACTGAAGCAGCGGTCTTAAACTGTAGAAAGTACTTGTATATTCACTTCAACTACGTTATTTACTCCTGCATTGTTGACTATTATCTTGCTTGTTTACCCGCCCGTGGAACAGACTGTTTGTTCCCACACTCGGGACTCTGACTCTTTATTGGTTACACGGTCACTTGGGACTCCCATCCTATTCTAACCACATCTCGCCGGCTTTGTATTCATGTTACCTGATGAAATTGCTGTACAATATTATCTTGTTGCCCTCTGATGCACATTCAAATGTCATTAAAAAAATCAACACTGCAGAGCTCTCCCTGTCCTCTGCCGTGCCCTGATTGTATTACTGCTGATGATATCTGGAAATGTGCATGTACACCCTGGCCCATCTACTGTTGCTAGCCCCAATTCTGACTTGTGCTCTGATATCTGCTTCACTGATTTCTGCTGGCTACACAAGAAGCGTATTACCTCAAATTGATCAATTGAAAGTGTGGGTTCACAGCTCCAATTCAGATGTGTTGGTCATTACTGAGACGTGGTTAAGAAAGAGTGTTTCTGGTTATAACCTTTTTCGGCAAGACAGATCTTCCAAAGGTGGTGGAGTAGCAATCTTTACCAAGGAACACCTTCAGTGCTCAGTTGTCTCCACCAAGTCTGTCCCCAAACAATTTGATTTGCTGGTTTTAAGCATAAAACCTTTCAAATAGCTCTTTGTTGACTGTTGCTGGGTGTTATCGTCCACCATCAGCACTGGCCTGTACCCTAAATGCCCTAAGCTCTCTCCTGGCCCCTTACACCAAGTCTGAATTTGTCCTGCTAGGTGACCTAAACTGGGACATGCTTAAACCACCTGACCAAGTCCTAAAGCAATAGGACTCCCTAAATCTTTCTTAGATTATTACCAATCCCACAAGGTACGACTCCAAACACCCAGAAAAGGCTACTCTCCTTGATGTTATCCTCACAAATAATCCTGATAGGTATCAGACTGGTGTTTTCTGTAATGACCTTAGTGATCACTGTTTTACAGCCTGTGTTCGTAATGTCTACTCAGTGAAACGACCTGTCCTGATTTGTCATAGACGCTTGCTAAAAAACTTTAATGAGCAACCGGTGTGAAATGGCTAGCTAGTTAGTGGTGCGCGCTAGTAGCGTTTCAATCGGTGACGTCACTCGCTCTGAGACCTTGAAGTAAAAAGCCGCGGCTTTTGTGAGACAGGTAACGGTGCTTCGAGGGTGACTGTTGTCGATGTGTGCAGAGGGTCCCTGGTTCAAGCCCAGGTAGGGGCGAGGAGAGGGACGGAAGCAACACTGTTACACTTTATTTTTTGATATTTTCAGTGGTATTGTTAACAAACATGCCCCCAGAAAGAAAATGAGAATTAAAAAACAGGTTCAGCCCCTGGTTCGACCGTGATCTGGCAGAGTTACTCCACCTCAAGAATTCCATTTGGCGAAAGGCTCGGCACACGCATACTCAGGCAAATGAGTCAAAGACCTGGTCAAAGACCTAGAGAATAAACCCTCCTCCTCACAGCTACCCATTTCCCTTCATGTTGATGATGTGGTTGTTACTGACAAAGAGCACATGGCTGAGCTCTTTAATCACCACTTCATTAAGTCAAGATTCCTATTTGACTCAGCCATGCCTCCTTGCCCGTCCAACATTTCCTCATCTCCCACCCCTTCTAATGCGACTAGCCACGATGCTCCTCCCTCTTTTCCCCCTGTCCCGCTACAAAGTTTCTCCCTGCAGGCGGTCACAGAGTCCGAGGTGCTAAAGGAGCTCCTTAAACTTGACACCAAAAAAAACATCTGGATCAGATGGTTTAGACCCTTTCTTCTTTAAGGTTGCAGCCCCTATCATCGCCAAGCCTGTCTCTGACCTTTTTAACCTGTCTCTCCTCTCTGGGGAGGTTCCCATTGCTTGGAAGGCAGCCACGGTGCGTCCTTTATTTAAAGGGGGAGATCAAGCTGTTATCAAGCTGTTATTTTGCCCTGTTTATCAAAAGTGTTGGAAAAACTTGTCAATATTCAGCTGACTGGCTTTCTTGATGTCTATAGTACTCTCTCTGGTATGCAATCTGGTTTCCGCTCAGGTTATGGATGTGTCACTGCAACTTTAAAGGTCCTAAATGATGTCACCATTGCCCTTGATTCTAAGCAATGTTGTGCTGCTATTTTTATTGACTTGGCCAAAGCTTTTGATACGGTAGACCATTCCATCCTTGTCGGCCGGCTAAGGAGTATTGGTGTCTCTGAGGGGTCTTTGGCCTGGTTTGCTAACTACCCCTCTCAAAGAGTGCAGTGTATAAAGTCAGAACATATGCTATCTCAGCCACTGCCTGTCACCAAGGGAGTACCCCAAGGCTCGATCCTAGGCCCCACGCTCTTCTCAATTTACATCAACAATATAGCTCAGGTAGTAGGAAGCTCTCTCATCCATTTATATGCAGAAGATAGTCTTATACTCAGCTGGCCCCGCCCCGGATTTTGTGATAAACACTCTACAACAAAGCTTTCTTAGTGTCCAACAAGCTTTCTCTGCCCTTAACCTTGTTCTGAACACCTCCAAAACAAAGGTCATGTGGTTTGGTAAGAAGAATGCCCCTCTCCCCACTGGTGTGATTACTACTTCTGAGGGTTTAGAGCTTGAGGTAGTAACCTCATACAAGTGCTTGGGAGTATGGCTAGACAGTACACTGTCCTTCTCTCAGCACATATCAAAGCTGCAGGCCCCCCATAAAAAAATAAAATAGGGTGGTTGTCCCACTGGCTATCCTAAGTTGAATGCACCAATTTGTAAGTCGCTCTGGATAAGAGTGTCTGCTAAATGACTTAAATGTAAATGTTAAATCTAGACTTGGTTTCCTCTATTGTAATCGCTCCTCTTTCACCCCATCTAGACTTGGTTTCCTCTATTGTAATCGCTCCTCTTTCACCCCATCTAGACTTGGTTTCCTCTATAGTAATCGCTCCTCTTTCACCCCAGCTGCCAAACTAACCATGATTCAGATGACCATCCTACCCATGCTAGATTACGGAGACGTAATTTATAGATCGGCAGGTAAGGGTGCTCTCGAGCAGCTAGATGTTCTTTACCATTCGGCCATCAGATTTGCCACCAATGCTCCTTATAGGACACATCACTGCACTCTATACTCCTCTATAAACTGGTCATCTCTGTATACTCGTCGCAAGACCCACTGGTTGATGCTTATTTATAAAACCTGCTTAGGCCTCACTCCCCCCTATCTGAGATACCTACTGCAGCCCTCATCCTCCACATACAACACTCGTTCTGCCAGTCACATTCTGTTAAAGGTCCCCAAAGCACACACATCCCTGGGTCACTCCTCTTTAGAGTTCGCTGCAGCTAGCGACTGGAATGAGCTGCAAAAAACACACAAACTGGACAGTTTTAGCTCCATCTCTTCATTCAAAGACTCAATCATGGAGACTCATACTGACGGTTGTGGCTGCTTCGCGTGATGTATTGTTGTCTCTACCTTCTTGCCCTTTGTGCTGTTGTCTGTGCCCAATAATGTTTGTACCATGTCTTGTGCTGCTACCATGTTGTGCTGCTGCCACGTGTTGCTACCATCTTGTTTTCATGTTGGGTTGCTACCTTGCTGTGTTGTCGTGTGTTGCTGCCATGCTGTGTTGTCGTGTGTTGCTGCCATGCTGTGTTGTCGTGTGTTGCTGCCATGCTGTGTTGTGTGTTGCTGCCATGCTGTGTTGTCGTGTGTTGCTGCCATGCTGTGTTGTTGCCTTAGATCTCTCTTTATGTAGTGTTGTCTCTCTTGTGATGTGTATTTGGTCCTATATAGATATATATTTTTTTATCCCAGCCCCCATCCCCACAGGAGGCCTTTTGCCTTTTGGGAGGCCGTCATTGTAAATAAGAATTTGTTCTTAACTGACTTGCCTAGTTAAATAAAGGTTAAATATATATATATTAATTTTTTTACATTAAACACTAAGTATAGGCTACTATTGTAATCTTCTCATTTATAGCATGTACTATATTAATAGCATTGTAGCATTTATTAGCCCCATGTGAAATTCAAGGATGACAAGGGAGTAGAAGCATATAACATAACTCATCACATCCTCCCTTGAGTCCTGACCTTTGTTCCTGATGTTGGACAGGATGGTCCTGATGTCCTTCTCCTGACCCCCCACTCCCACGCTCTCCGGTCCCCCTCGCTTCTTCAGCCTCAGGGAGGAGAAGAAGTTGAGCTTCCTGGGCGGCAGTGAGGCTATGTCGTCTGTGGTGAAGGATCCTACAGACTTGTTGCTGCCTAGGGACACCTGCTCCAGTAGCGTAGGCAGGTCTGAGGGTCTGTCTCCCACGGAGGCCTTGAGTGGGTGTGGGGTCGGCTGGCTCTTCTGCCCCACTTCCACTGGTTTGGCCTCCTGGCTTTGGGTGGTATCCCCAAACAGGGAGCTAAAGCTGAAGGCTCCGTCAGACAGAGGCCTAGGCTTGGTGGGACCGTTGTTGTTCCTCCTGGTGACAACAGTGTTGGAGTCTGTTGTTGTCCCTGATACTCCAAAAGACCTCCTGAAAGCATTGGCCCACACCTGGAATGCGGACGGTGCCGGCTGGGGCTGAGTTGGGACTGGTTCTGCTTCTTGCTCTACCTGAGGCAATAGGTCCTTAGGGGGGATCTGGTCCCCAGGTTTGGGGTGTCTGGAAGGATCTCCTCCTCCAGGGCCTCGGGCCTCCTCTGGAGTAGCCAGGTTCCAGTCCAGGAGTTTCTCTCTCTCAGACAGGGACAGGGTCAGCCTCTTCTTACGGCCGACTGCTTCCTCCAGCTGGGGCACTTTTGTGACAGGGCACTCTTCTTTACCCATTGATGGATTCTGATTCTGAGAATCTGCAGGTGGTTTAGGACCATCATGGGAGACCTGCTGAACAAATTCAAAAGTCCTGTTTTATTTCTCAGTTGCAATAATGTTAATATGCGAAACGTTTCTATACCACATTAAATGGTTGAGTATCTGTATGAATATTGTGTTTTACCGGTGGTTCAATCTCCTCAAAATCAGAGTTGGCCTCTTCAATGGTGGGCTCCTCTTTTTCTGCAGCTTTTTCACGAGGGAAGTGCCTCACCAGGATGAGAGGGAGAGCTGAAGGAGTAGAGTACAACACAGACAACATGCATTGATCAGAGCTCATGCAGCTACTGTAGGTCAGACTTTAATATTGCAGACAGATTGTGGCTTCCATCAATGTAATTGTCTGCATCATATCCAATCCACCAAATGTATATTATTCTACAATGTAAAAAAATACATGTCCAAACTTTTGACTGGTAGTATGTGTGTGTGTATATATATATATATGGACACACCTACTCATTCAAGGGTTTTTCTTTATTTGTTGTCTTTTTTTACATTGTAGAATAATAGTGAAGACATCAAAACTATGAAATAACACGTATGGAATCATGCAGTAACCAAGAGTCTCGGTTGGTTCCAAACTTCTTCCATTTAAGAATGATGGAGGCCACTGTGTTATTGGGGACCTTCAATGCTGCAGGAAAAGTCACCTTTTGCCTTGACAGCTTTGCACACTCTTGGCATTCTGTCAACTAGCTTCATGAGATAGTCACCTGGAATGCATTTCAATTAACAGGTGTGCCTTCTTAAAAGTTAATTTGTGGAATTTCTTTCCTTCTTAATGCGTTTGAGCCAATCAGTTGTGCTGTGACAAGGTAGGGGGGTATACAGAAGATAGCCCTATTTGGTAAAAGACCAAGTCCATATTATGGCCATAACAGCTCAAATAAGCAAAGAGAAACAACAGTCCATCATTACTTTAAGACATGAAGGTCAGTCAATACGGAACATTTCAAGAACTTTGAAAGTTTCTTCAAGTGCAGTCGCAAAAACCATCAAGGGCTATGATGAAACTGGCTCTCATGAGGACCGCCACAGGAAAGGAAGACCCAGAGTTGCCTCTGCTGCAGAGGATAAGTTCATTAGAGTTACCAGCCTCAGAAATTGCAGCCCAAATAAATGCTTCACAGAGTTCAAGTAACAGACACATCTCAACATCAACTGTTCAGAGGGGACTGTGTGAATCAGGCCTTCATGGTCGAATTGCTGCAAATAAACTACTACTAAAGGACACCAGTAAGAAGAAGAGACCTGCTTGGGCCAAGAAACACGAGCAATGGACATTAGACCGGTGGAAATGTGTCCTTTGGTCTGGAGTCCAAATTGGAAATGTTTGGTTCCAACCACCATGTCCTTGTGAGACGCGGTGTGGGTGAACGGATGATCTCCGCATGTGTATTTCCCACCGTAAAGCATGGAGGAGGAGGTGTTATAGTGTGGGGTTCTTTGCTGGTGACACTGTCTGATTTATTTAGAATTCAAGGCACACTTAACAAGAATGGCCACCACAGCATTCTACAGCGATCCGCCATCCCATCTGGTTTGGGCTTAGTGGGACTACCATTTGTTTTTCAACAGGACAATGACCCAACACACCTCCAGGCTGTGTAAGGGCTATTTGACCAAGAAGGAGAGTGATTGAGTGCTGCATCAGATGACCTGGCATCCACAATCCCCCGACCTCTACCCAATTGAGATGGTTTGGGATGAGTCGGACCGTAGAGTGAAGGAAAAGCAGCCAACAAGTGCTCAGCATATGTGGGAACTCCTTCAAGACTGTTGGAAAAGCATTCCAGGTGAAGCTGGTTGAGAGAATGCCAAGAGTGTGCAAAGCTGTCATCAAGGCAAAGGGTGGCTATTTGAAGAATCTCAAATATAAAATATATTTGGATTTGTTTAACACTTTTTTGGTTACTACATGATTCCATATGTGTTATTTCATAGTCTTGATGTCTTCACTATTATTCTACAATGTAGAAAATAGTAAAAATAAAGAAAAACCCTGGAATGAGTAGGTGTCCAAACTTTTGACTGGTACTGTAGAGCATGGCGTTTGCAACGCCAGGGTTGTGGGTTCGATTCCCACGGGGGGCCAGTATGAAAAAAATGTATGCACTGTAAGTCGCTCTGGATAAGAGCGTCTGCTAAATGACTAAAATGTAAATGTTATCTTGTTATTTTCACTTCACTTTTTCCACATTTTGTTACGTTACAGCCTTATTCTGAAATTGATTAAATTGTAATTTTTTTCCTCATCAATCTACACACAACACCCCATAATGACAAAGCGAAAATAGGTTTATATAATTTTTTCACATTTATTACATATATAAAACAGAAATACCTTATTTACATAAATATTCAGACCCTTTGCTATGAGACTAAAAATCGAGGTCAGGTGCATCCTGTTTCCATTGATCATCCTTGAGATGATTCTTCAACTTGATTGGACAGGATTTGGAAAGGCACACCCGTCTATATAAAAGGTCCCACAGTTGACAGTGCATGTAAGAGCAAAAACCAAGCCATGAGGTCGAAGGAATTGTCCGTAGAGCTCAGAGACAGGATTGTGTCAAGACACAGATCTGTGGAAGGCTACCGAAACATTTCTGCAGCATTGAAGGTCCCCAAGAACACAGTGGCCACCATTCTTAAATGGAAGAAGTTTGGAACCACCAAGACTCTTCCTAGAGCTGGCCGCCCGGCCAAACTAAGCAATCGGGGGAGACGGGCCTTGGTCAGGGAGGTGACCAAGAACCCGATGGTCACTCTGACAGAGCTCCAGAGTTCCTCTATGGAGATGGGAGAACCTTCCAGAAGGACAACCATCTCTGCAGCACTCCACCAATCAAGCCTTCATGGTAGAGTGGCCAGACAGAAGCCACTTCTCAGTAAAAGGCACATGAAAGCCTGCTTAGAGTTTGCCAAAAGGTCTGAGAGTCCTTTAGGTGCCATGAGAAACAAGATTCTCTGGTCTGATGAAACCAAGATTGAACTCTTTGGCCTGAATACCAAGGGTCACATCTGGAGGAAACCTGGCACCATCCCTACGGTGAAGCATGGTGGTGGCAGCATCATGCTGTGGGGATGTTTTTCAGCGGCAGGGACTGGGAGACTAGTCAGGATCGAGGGAAAGATTAACAGAGCAAAGTACAGAGTGATCCTTGATGTAAACCTGCTCCAGAGCGCTCAGGTCCTCAGACTGGGGCGAAGGTTCACCTTCCAACAGGACAACGACCCTAAGCACACAGCCAAGACAATGCAGGAGTGGCTTCGGGAGAAGTCTCTGAATGTCCTTGAGTGGCCCAGCCAGAGCCCGGACTTCAACCCGATCGAGACCTGAAAATAGCTATGCAGCGACGCTCCCCATCCAACCTGACAGAGCTGAGAGGATCTGCAGAGAAGAATGGTAGAAACTCCTCAAATACAGGTGTGCCAAACTTGTAGGTCATACCCAAGACTCAAGTGATCGCTAGCAAACGGTGTTTCAACAAAGTACTGAGTAAAGGGTTTGAATACTTATGTGATATTTCAGATATTGTGTGTAGATTGATGAGAATTATTTTTTTTTAATCAATTTTAGAATAAGGCTGTAACCTAACAAAATGTGGAAAAAGTCAAGGGGTCTGAATACTTTCCGAATGTACTGTAACTCCACCAGTCCTATTTAAAAAGACTATACCGTTTTTAAACATTTTTTCCAAAGATACAGTGAGGGAAAAAGGTATTTGATCCCCTGCTGATTTTGTACGTCTGCCCACTGACAAAGACATGATCAGTCTATAATTTTAATGGTAGGTTTATTTGAGCAGTGAGAGACAGAATAACAACAAAAAAAACCAGAAAAAACTTAGTACTTGGTGGCAAAACCCTTGTTGGCAATCACAGAGGTCAGACATTTCTTGTAGTTGGCCAACAGGTTTGCACACATCTCAGGAGGGATTCACTCCTCTTTGCAGATCTTCTCCAAGTCATTAAGGTTTCGAGGCTGACGTTTGGCAACTCAAACCTTCAGCTCCCTCCACAGATTTTCTATGGGATTAAGGTCTGGAGACTGGCTAGGCCACTCCAGGACCTTAATGTGCTTCTTCTTGAGCCACTCCTTTGTTGCCTTGGCCGTGTGTTTTGGGTCATTGTCATGCTGGAATACCCATCCACGACCCATTTTCAATGCCCTGACTGAGGGAAGGAGGTTCTCACCCAAGATTTGACGGTACATGGCCCCGTCCATCGTGCCTTTGATGCAGTGAAGTTGTCCTGTCCCCTTAGCAGAAAAACACCCCCAAAGCATAATGTTTCCACCTCCATGTTTGACGGTGGGGATGGTGTTCTTGGGGTCATAGGCAGCATTCCTCCTCCTCCAAACACGGCGAGTTGAGTTGATGCCAAAGAGCTCCATTTTGGTCTCATCTGACCACAACACTTTCACCCAGTTCTCCTCTGAATCATTCAGATGTTCATTGGCAAACTTCAGACGGCCCTGTATATGTGCTTTCTTGAGCAGGGGGACCTTGCGGGCACTGCAGGATTTCAGTCCTTCACAGCGTAATGTGTTACCAATTGTTTTCTTGGTGACTATGGTCCCAGCTGCCTTGAGATAATTGACAAGATCCTCCCGTGTAGTTCTGGGCTGATTCCTCACCGTTCTCATGATCATTGCAACTCCACGAGGTGAGATCTTGCATGGAGCCCCAGGCTGAGGGAGATTGACAGGTCTTTCGTGTTTCTTCCATTTGCGATTAATCGCACCAACTGTTGTCACCTTCTTACCAAGCTGCTTGGCGATGGTCTTGTAGCCCATTCCAGCCTTGTGTAGGTCTACAATCTTGTCCCTGACATCCTTGGAGAGCTCTTTGGTCTTGGCCATGGTGGAGAGTTTGGAATCTGATTGATTGCTTCTGTGGACAGGTGTCTTTTATACAGGTAACAAGCTGAGATTAGGAGCACTCCCTTTAAGAGTGTGCTCCTAATCTCAGCTCGTTACCTGTATAAAAAGACACCTGGGAGCCAGAAATCTTTCTGATTGAGAGGGGTCAAATACTTATTTCCCTCATTAAAATGCAAATCAATTTAACATTTTTGACATGCGTTTTTCTGGATTTTTCTGTTGTTATTCTGTCTCTCACTGTTCAAATAAACCTACCATTAAAATTATAGACTGATCATTTCTTTGTCAGTGGGCAAACGTACAAAATCAGCAGGGGATCAAATACTTTTTTCCCTCACTGTATATATATTTTTAATCAATTAGTATATTTGAGTTTAACGATAATATTTGTTTTAATATTTGTTCTGTCTTTTCTGGTGGATTAAACTGAAATAGGTAGATCAGACTTAACACACTACTCAGATACGTGCTCATTAACACACATATGCTACATTCATAACCAACCGGTGTTGTCATTGTGTATCATATAAGGATCATTACGCATGAATAACCAATCATGTCTGAAATGTTCAAATAACGTATGCAAAATCTTTACAGTTCTAAAGAGTTGAAGAAACCAGAATCATTACGTTTTATCAGCAAGAGAGCACAGTTATAATGCGGTCTATCCCGAAAAGTAACCTCTTCCAAACACTAATCTAATTCAAATTATAGACAACTCCAGACCAAAACAAAAATTAAAACTATTTTTCCCAAAGAACACCAACTCCCTCTAGTGTGTGTGAGTTCTCACTTCAGCTTTTAAATCTTTCATTTAACTCTGATTCTCACGCAAGACTTCAACACCATCAGTCAGTGAACTGTAATTTTTTCTCATTGGGATTATTAATTAAAGCCCTGAAGTACATTCCCAGAGAACCACAGGCCCCAGCTGCAAAAGCTCGCTATGCATTGCAGTGAAAATTCTCTAACACTTCTACAAAACACATATCAGAGCTAGTAACGCCACAGCAGGGAATAAGAAGGGGTGAAATTATGCCTGTAGGAGGATAAGGAAAGGAGGTGATCTAGATAGGACTGATATAAGGATCATGTCAGATTGTCAACAGCAGAGGTAGCCTACTCACTAGCACGGATCATCCTCTTCCATCTGCTGTTCCCAGATGGGAGGGATGACTTGGTACTGGAATGTTCTGCAGGGAGAGTGGGCGTAATAAGTAACCTGTATCACAACAACACATACAGTATTGATCTGTGCCAACACTACTGTGGCAACACATTTTAACTGGATGTCTGTCAAACAACAATGATAAACTATGCTACAGTATAGTTCTACATTTACAAAGTATGTAAGCGAATGAGAGGTCTCTTTACAGAGTTTGAGGGTGATCCATTTCAGCCATGGGGTGGCGTCGCAAACCTTTCAACTGAGCCCAGCAAATGTAGCGTGGGGAACAGAACAACTGTGGCCTATAGACAGCCCTATCTGTGCAGCCGAACAGAATGTTCAAGCCAGTCACAGTGCTCAGCGCTCCCCATGCCAAGACAAATATTCACTTAATGTGGGAGAATGGCTTTGTCTGCCTCACCCCAGATTTCAGAGCCTTAACTGGAGGAGTGGGATCTCACACACGGGGAAACAGAGCACGGTGGGCTGCTCCTAACACACTCACTCAGACCCTAATAAACAAAGTCTATATCCCACAGTACCAGGGCTATAATCACTAAACAGTCTGAATTATTTCCTACATGCTCTAGATATCCAGACTGATGCCTGTAATGATGCTGGGAGAGAAGTTAGGCTGCTACAAGGTCAAGGCTGAGGACGGCGAGAATAGGGAAATAGCTATGGCTGAAGCTAGGGGAAATCATCAGGCTAATGTGTTTCTCATGTGGGTGAATGTCAGAGACGTCACACCTTTCTTCTCCTGTGCAGAATCTTGTGGTTTGAGAGATGTATCTGAGTGGTCCCGTTTCTTAGAGTCAGCACTGCAAAAAGACATGGACAACACACAAACAATAAGCAACGGCAAATATCCATATGTGAATAAGGACACATTGAGGGTTGTTCTGTAGTAGTGGACTCACGTCTTGTTGGAGTCAGGCATGTCCAGGTCCACTGCGTCCTTGGCCACCTCAGGCACCGTGCGGGTGTACAGTCCATTCATCAGGCCTGTGTATCTGTAGTGACGTCCTGAAAATGTACATCTTATTAGGCTAAATTCACATACTACATTGTTCCATATTATTATTATTATTATTGCTATTTATGAGAAAGTGCACTCCAACAAACTAGGACAGCTAGGATGGTTACAAAGCTACTGCACTTGCTATGTGCAAATGTGTCTGGCTTTAACTGTCTAGTACACACAACCAGGCTGCATTACTGCTATGGTAATAACAGTACAAAAATGTTACCTTACTTTATATATTTGCACTAGTCAGCATGCAATAAACAGTCTTATCTCTCTCATATATATATATTTTGTATTTATTTATCTGTAGACACACAGGTATAAATTGAGACTTTGGAAAAGTGTTGTGTTAAAATATAATATAAAAACCATTTAAGAAACACCAACCATGTGATATGAAACATTAAAGGGAACATTCATGCTAGTGATTACTCACAGAACCAAACTGAAGCCATGTTGATAACATTGTTTCATAGATTATTTTGAGAGGTGCCTCCATTTAGTTCAAGTACACTTCATAACCATAAAGAAAAGGAAAAACCTATACAAACATTATCTAGACATCTACGTATATGTGTGTGGCATGCTCTGTATCTGAATCAGTAACTGAATGGGTTGGTTAGGTTGTGTAGTATACTATGGATGTGGGGGTGTGTCTAATTGTCGAGGCAACACAGCTTCAACATACATAAACAACATCCTACTTCATTTACATTTACATTTTAGTCATTTAGCAGACGCTCTTATCCAGAGCGACTTACAGTTAGTGCATACATTATTTTTATCGAAACCACAACCCTAGCGTTGCAAACGCCATGCTCTACCAACTGAGCTACATCCCCTGCCGGCCAAATCCCTCCCCTACCCTGGACGACGCTGGGCCAATTGTGCGCGCCGCCCCATGGGTCTCCCGGTACTTGAGGTGCTGATTCCGAAAAATTAGTTTAGGGCAATTTACCAAACAATACTGTTGATGTCACATTGTGTTAGGATTCCAATACAGAATAACAAACAAACAAAAACTTTGACCCAGAGATGACCCAAGGATGACCCAAATAGAAAGATGAGAAAGACCCTGAAAGAGAAACCCATAAAGTGAAAGGATGCGTGTAATGGTCTGTTACTATTATTTGAATTCAGTTCATAGTTGAGACACTTTTGCATTGGGTCTAATGTATGCTATTTGGGGAAATAAAATAAAAGTAACCGCTCCCTAGAAAAGTGTCACTCAGTTCCCCCAAAAAACACATGACCGACTGGGGAATGAACAGGGCTGAGCGACACTGTCCAGGGAAATTCAGGTGTTGTTAAGTGCGTGGGAATGTGCCAGTCAAACAAGTTTTTTGTAAACAGAGGTTATGCTTGTGACAGGGTTATTAATGTGAGGGTGCTGGTGCAAAAAGGCTTCTTTCTTGCAAAGTCTAACATTTAAGTTGTTCATTCTGCTGTTAATTTGAAAGCTGTGAGAATGTCATAATTGCAATGGATCCACTATGATATGCTATATGACAACCATTGACAGCTTCAAAATAAAATCGATAATAGTTGGTAAATTTGGCTAAATTGTTTTAAAAAATATTCAAAAAGGGAGGAAGCAAGTAACTTATGTAATGAAATAGATTTATTTATACTTACAGCTTTAAATAGCATAAATTAATCAAACAGTTTATTCACTGTGGAAAAATACAAGGTAGCAGACCAAATCTTATAAACACAACTAAAAATGTACAACATATTCTGGAGCCGACTTGCAGAATTGTGCCCCAAAGAAACTAGGATCTTGTCATGAGCAATGAGCTCAGCTTTGTATTAGGAGGAACATGAGAGCCCTTGAGAAGGTTTCTGAGTGGTAAGCGCCTTCTGCAACAGAGAATCACAGGGGGACATAGACGTGGAGACGGAAGTTACTATCAGATGGGGCAGCCAAAAAGACTTGAAGAAACTGCATGCCAAAAACTCAGACATTCAGCCCTTCAACACATTGTGTGTTAGAAAGAAAACAGAACGTCTGTTAGTGGGTTAGCTTGGAAGAATTAAAGGCTTTTGAAACATGCGTGTCATACACCTAGTGACGTAATTAACAAACAATGTGTGGCTAACTGAATGAACCCGTTGCCATACATAGGACCCATGCCGCGTTCTCAACATGAATGGTTAATGAGTGGTCAAGAAGAGCTATGGTGGAAGCGAATGCAAAGCAACAATATTGATCATGTGACCTAAGCAGGCCATCACCTTCCTGCCACAACGATTCAGGCCATCACGACGATTGTTGTGTGTGTGTGTGTGAATGAAATTTGAGAAATATGGAAGGGAAAACATGACAAAAATACTAAGAATCACAAATAAAAGAACAAACTTTGTTGCAACACAAGATCACTGGAACACTTAGCAATCCTTTTGAAAAATAAGTCATAACACTGTACTACCGGACCAAGCTATTGATTCAGCACAAACATTCCTGTGATCATTTGCATATTCGAATATTTGCAGAAATGTGCGTCAAATCCAAGGCTTGTGATCCAAGCAGCACAAAAGCAAAGAACTATAACTAAATATTTCAAAGAAAAACAATGTTTCTTTGGAAGAATTTGCTACAGTACCTGGTGTAAGAGGTAAACATGAGGATCCTCTCAGTGTTTCCAGACCCATCTAATATTTTACAACGGGAGTTACAATCAGATTAATCTAAAATCAAACGTGTCCCATTAAACTGCACTAGACAAATCTATAAAAATAATAATGTGAAAGCAAATTCTAAAACAAAAATATACACATAAAAATATAGCAACGATATAGGCTCTTAGAAAAATGCTTGTGAAATGCAAAAAAATAACTGTTTGGCATTTCCATTGCACGCCTCACAGGTGCAATATAGCAGTGCAGTTCAAGAAAGAGCAGGACTCCATTCAACAGACTCCACACAACACAAGCACACCAGGCACTACACACAGCCTTCGCAGTCCCACCAAGTCAAGTACAGTGCTTTTAGTAGACCCTTTTTGGATTACAAAAAAAAAAAGCAATACTGAAATAAAAAATGTCAAGCAATTGAAAGGATTCATGACGTTTTGCAATGTTAAAGGGATACTTCAGGACTTTGGCCCTTTATCTACTTCCCCAGAGTCAGATGAACTAATGGATACCATTTTTATGTATCTGTATTTTGAAGGAGGTTACTAACTAGCTTTAGTGCAATTGCTAACTAGCGCAATGACTGGAAGTCTATGGTAACTGCTAGCATGCTAGTAGATACCATAGCCTTCCAGTCATTGCGCTAACGCTAGTGGAGCATTGGCTCGCAAAACTACCTCCAACTTCCTTCATACTGGATGCAGAGACATAAAATGGTATCCATGAGTTCATCGGACTCTGGGGAAGTAGATAAAGGGCTTCATTGCCAAAATCCCAAAGTATCCCTTTAAGGACCATGCATCGCACTTGGAATAATACTTTTATGAACATAAAGATTGTTTATTGTCGTAAAATCAAAAAGAATAGAAGAAAGACTTTTGAAATTGAACATATTTTTTGAATCTGCATAAAGAATTCTACATTGTGCAGACTGCTGTAGCTCAGGGACTTGCGTCAGAGAGCACAGTACAGCATTAAGTCCATGACTCTAGGTGGCCCTGAGGCCTAGACGCTGCTGGGCCCAGTGCAGTGGGCCTTGGGGCCGAGGCTCAGGCTGCTCAGCCTCCATGTAAATCTGGCCCAGGAGCTCGTGCAGCATGCTCAGTAGTGGCAGGCCCAGACTCAGCAGCTCGTACAGGAAACCATAGTCCTCTAAGCGTTCCCTGAGGTGGAGCCCCACCTGGCCGACTGCCCCATGCACCCAGCAGGCCAGCCGGCGGGGCGTCTCACACACTGATTGGCCAGCGTGCAGAGGCCAGCGCAGGCTTCTCCTAAGGAAGGAACTCAGGGTACCTGAGGGCTGGCTCTGCAGGCTGCCCGTGGCCGAGTAGGGGTCACTCCCGTCCGGCAAAGAGGTCAGATGTCCCTGGTCCTCCTGTGTGTGATAGGCACAACATAATATATAAAATCAGACTAAGCAGTGACTAATGAATAAAACATTTATAAAAAATAATGAATAACATAACAATACATCCTAAGTAAAAATGACAGTTTATGTTTGTTACTGAAAGCTGTTTACCGTTCTCCTCTGGAACTTGCTTGAATTTTGAAGGCTGGGTTGGCGCTGAGAATAGTGAAGCTTGCAATAAAACTTGCCTGTAACAAACACATCAAATCTCATACTAAATATCAAATAAATCCACAAACGGCTTCTGCCCCCAGGTGGAAGAGAGACTGGTATATGGGTGTGTCAGGATCATACCCTGTTGGGAGTTGTAGGCGTGTCCTCCCAGGCGTAGTGTGGAGCTGCAGATGTCACAGCGGAAACACTCCCTGTGGAAGAAGTGGCCCTCAGCGCTGAGACGCTCCATCACGTACACACGCTTGGAGCAGAAGTGACACATGTCACTGCCTCCCAGGTTCTGAGGGAACTCCTTCCTTCCAACACACTGTCAGGAGACAGCAGACAACAGCAGCAGGTTAGGGAGAGAACATAATAGGCAAGCTGTTAGCTTAGGGAGCTAATGAACCCTTTTTGGTTGTATAGAACACTATTTATTCTAGCAGTGTACAGTATTAGGTGGTGGTGTGACCACCTAATAAGTTAACATGTAACCCTACTGTGGATGCTAAGGCAGGCAGTGGTATTAAACTAGTGAGCATGCCATCAGAGAACCACCCAGACTGAAGAGTAACATCAACACCAAGTACAATACAACCTACTAACCAAATTAGTAATAAGGCCATGAGGAACAAGTCAGGCCTTTACACAAAACACCATGGCTCATGACTGGAGAATTCACCGTAAGATTCAGGTCAGAATGTTTTACAGTACACAGTCCCTCTTTTCTACTAGTAACAGATGTAGTATCCTGAAGCAGTAGGCATGACTTGGTTGTTGTTTAGATGGTTACCAACACTCCTGAAGTTGGTAGTAGAGACCTTGGGTTGGTAATAGATATAGAGCCCTCGTTTGTTTGTTTGTTTGTTTGTGTGTGTGTGTCTTGTGATGTATATTCCCACTGGGCAATTGTTAATCACACTGTGCTTACCGGCGAGGCATTAGGCCTGTGGTCAGTTTCATAGAGGATGGCTAGAGTTTCAGCCCTAGCACCTATGCGAGAGGATACCTTCCCAACTGTCCGCTAACAGAACCCAGTCAGAGGTCAAGGGAGGCAGCAGCAGAGGCAGACAAAGAAAGGGAAAAAGTAAGGATCAAGGAAAATAGAGAAATTTATATTTCTACTCAGCAATGAAAAGATATGCAGTTGTTACTGATACCTGTCTGGCAGGATTAGAGGGCTCAGCTGGACAGCTTTCAGATCGAACAATTGTTTTTTGAATCATTCTACTTGGTGCAGCACTCTCATTGCACTAAAACCAATAAGAACATGGTAAGAGAGAGCTGATTTAATAGACTTACACTAAGAATCTGTTGTCTATTCTTATATTTCACATTTGTACTGATTCCAGTTGGGCAGACTAAGGGTTCAGCTTCATAACTCTCAGATCAAATTATTCTACTAGTCTCAGCATTCCCATTGCACTAAAAGCTAAATAAAACATGGTCAGAGTGAGCTGACAAGTCTCTTCTATTCTTACAAGTTTACTGATACCTGTTCGGTGGACTATGGGGGCAGCTTCATAACTCTCAGATCGATTGATTGGCTTTTGAATGAGTCTACCTGATGCAGCACTCCCATTGCACTAACATCAATAACAACATGTCAGAGTGAGCCGACTCAGTGAGTTGAGTCGTTCCTCTATTCTTACACTTCCAATGCATTTCAAATTACTGGTACCTGTTCGGTAGAATTGTCAGGCTTGAATGGTTCAGCTTGATAACTCACAGAACGTTCGATTGGCTTTTGAATGAGTCTACTTGATGCAGCACTTCCACTGCACTAAAATCAATCCAAACATGGTCAGAGTAAACTGATATTTTGGGAGTTCTGGATGGTCACTGAGGAGCACAACAAGGAGCTGCTAGCGGCAGCCGTCCTTACCTTGTCATGGTGCACAGGAGATGTTGGGGTAAGAGAAGAGAAGTAGGAAAGAGCAGAGGGTTCAGGGACAGGTTGGATTGAAGTGCTTTTAGGGACAGAGGCAGAGGGGTCTTGAGCAGAGGTTGATAGATCTGGCTGTAGAAAAATTGTTCACATCAGAAATGAGAGAAATCTCCAAGACATCTAACCCTTCACATCCCACCATGATACTGATGTAAGCTTAATATAAGTCGGAGAAAAACTATTGGTCAGAGAAAAATTCAACAGCTCATCCTTTATATCAACATTCCCTCATTAGTATCACAGACAACGTTCATCATGCAGAGGGAGGTCACCTGACCTGGAATTCTCAGAACCGCAACACCATGGAAACCAGACATGCTGCAAGAAAACAACCTCTGCCACTAAATTCATTTAAAATGGATTATCAAGCTGTTACCAGACTTCAAAAACATGCTCCACTCTCAGTAAATGTGAGTAGGTTTGACTGGTGACATTTTATTATTCCAAACAGGGTGAGACAGTCAAACAGAACTCGTGTACAAGGACAAACATTACTGTGCCTCATTTCCTTAGATGGGGTTAGACAGGCAGGCGAGGGGTGGTACAACACTTTCACCTTATACTCTTTCACTTGAGGAGTCTTGGACCCAGGGAACATAGAACGCAGGAGCACAGCCCTCTCCTTTATACTCATTCTGTTAAACTCCCTAGTCGTTACGGTTTGCACTTTTGTCTGAAGAACAGCAACAGGTAAAGGAAAAAAGTGTGAAAGTCAAACTGCAGGAAATAGGCAAGTAAAAACTATAAATACTGAACAGCAGTTATAATCCACATTTAAATTGATGTGGGGTATAAACACCATTTAGCAATTTTGTACCTTTCGAACAATGGTGTTTTTGTTGGCGTGTTGTGCCATCTGCTAGACTTTTGTGGCTAAGGCAGAATTGGATTTACCATGTTGAATGGGCTTGAATCCATTATCCACACAAACATTGTTTTACTGTGAGTGCATGGCTGTGAATGGAGCTAACATGCTGTCCATACAGACCACAGGCTCATGTCACCTGGTTCATCTTGTCCCCCAGCTTCTCTATGTGCTGGCCCATCCCTGTCGGGTCAGGAGAGGGGTGTTCTGGGTAATCTACATCGTCTGGGGTTTCGGTGCGTGGAATCCACACTCTCTGCTGCACGAACTCTGCGCGCGGAGAGGCATGTGTTTGATCATCCTGTGGAGGACTCCAGGACCTTGTGGGTACGTACAGGGGAGTGGGTTGCGCCACAGCTGCAGGCTCTTCTAAGAGTCGCATATAGATGGATGGCTGAAAGCAGACATACACACATGGCAATGTGTAAAGCAGAACTGACCTCCAGCCAGTAGAGGGCGAACCTCCAGGGTCATCACTGTCTACAGTGAGTCGAGTAAAAGGGGTGTCTTTTCAAAGACTCTTGTCCTAGACTATGGTGATTTTTAACCATTGATTATTTTGTTATCATAGGCTATAGGTTAGGGTGTGGGGGATTTTTAAACTACATTACTTGGTTTATGATGCAGTGGCTGACCCTTCCTGGTCTCAACACACAGCTTGGGTGATTTGATTGTACCTGCCACTTGGGGCGTGTGGGTGGAGGAGGGGGCTGTTCCTTGGGCTTAGCGAAGCGAGGGTTCTCCGTCATATCCAGAGAAGGAGATGAAGGACGGCTTGAATCAGAGTCCCAATCAGACTGACAGAGCAGCAGACACAGAGAATGCAGGAAGGGACAGAGGAGCAGTACAGAATGATTGGTTTCTGTACTACCATTCAAAACCACACACTGCTGCCATCCATTACACTGTATGTGTTCCATAACCATGGCATTCAACACCATAATCAGATATTTCAAGGCATTTAGTTAGAGTATTTGAACAGATACCCTGCTAACAGAGCCACTCAGTCCTTTCCTAGGGCTTCACAGGCAGATCAAACTGTATTCACTTCTGTATCAAGGTTTCAAATGCACAACCTTCTATAATCCTATAATCCAGGGACAGCCTCCCTCTTCTTAGACAGCAGTAGATCATCTTACTGTGTGACTAATGTAGTGGTCCATATATTAGAAGTATGTTATTGTAGGAAGTAAAACAATACAATAAATAATCTTCAATCTCTTCATAGCTTTCTTGACCATTACCAATAAGCTACCCCTCACAAAAACATAGGAAGGAGAAAGAGGAAAAGTTTAATTAGAATTTGTCCTCAAACTGTATATATATATATATTAATGTTTTTTTTTTAACTAGGCAAGTCAGTTAAGAACAATTTCTTATTTTACAATGACGGCCTACCCCGGCCAAAACTGGACAACGCTGGGCCAATTGTGCGTCGCCGTATGGGACTCCCAATCACGGCCGGATTGTGATACAGCCTGGAATCTAACCAGGGGGTCTGTAATGACGCCTCTAGCACTGAGATGCAGTGCCTTTGACCGCTGCGCCACTCAGGAGTTTCAGTGTACCCAAGGGCAGTGGGAGGAGGAGTGGAGGATTTGTCCCATTTTCCAGTCTTCCAACACAATGGGCTGTATTCAAACAGGATTATGGTAGCAGCAACGCTGCAGAATTGGATACAAGGGCATGTGGGCTCTCCCCTAATGTAAAAACAGGTCTATGAAATGAATGTCCTTTTCTAATCTCTCCCAGAACTGAATACACAGACATACAATACCACATTGTAGCACACAGTACCATCCTTCAACATAAGACAAGACCGGTCTGTGTATGGCCTAAAAATACAATTTCATAAAACGACAGGCAAACATTTGAAAAGACTGCCGGCATGCAGTCGTACAGTGGTACAGATTGATTCTAAAACCAGATAGCCATCAGAAGAAACGTACAGACAACATGAACATTCAGTCTTAAAAGGTAGTATGATGTTGGGCCAACATACAGTCTAGAACTGAAGAGTCTTACAGTAACCATCAGCACTGAGCGCATCGAGTAGTCAGTACGCAACCATCCACATTACCTGCCTTACTGGGATATTAGTCACTGTCTCTACACAGCACAGTGTACAGGGACCATAACCATTAACCCCTCTGGTCAGAGTACACTACAGCTGGAGCTGCTCACCTTCTTGCGCAGGGCACCGCCGGGTGCCCCATTCTCCTCAATCTTGGCCAGCAGCTGGGTGGCCATGGAGCGCACCTTATTCTGCTCCCCGCCCTCGCCTGCAGGGGGGGCACTCTGACAGGACAACTGGAGACACAACCAGCCATGGAGAGGAAGAGAAGACACAAATGAATGACCAGTCCCTTATCGACATTCAAATGGTGCTGTCTAAGACCATACTGCTGATAGAGATATACTTGATGCTACCAACACACCTCCTCTAAGTAGTTGCTGCCCTTTCGTCGTCTTTTGCTCATTGGGTCCTTTTCCTCCAGCTTCTTGTCCTCCTGTGAGGAAAAGGTAGTACAAAATACACCATTTATTCACCTCATTCACGTCCCAGTCAAAGGTTATGGAGTCTGAGGGTTATTGATAAGAAAGTATGCCTTGGAAGATCTAGATTATCTCTCGTTCACATACCTTATCTACTCCTATTGGCACGGAGGAATTGCTTTTATCTGCAAAGTTAACATGCACCTATGTTGACACAAACACTTTACGTAGGCTAAATCTGATTTACATGGAGGCCTTTGTTGTTGCAATGCTTTCCTTTTAAAGCCTGCAGATGGGTGAGGAAGAGGGGGAGGGAGAGCTCATGGTACCTTTGGGATCCTCTTTCTTGGCTGTGTTTGGTTCATTAAGTTGTAAACTGAGTTTGCAGACTCTGATGAAGAGTCCTCATTGTTCTCATCCGTTTCCCTTGTACCTGTAACAAAGCATAGCAGCGTGTTGTAATGGGCATTTTGATACGTGATATTATTCAACCAGCCAAACCAGGTCAGGCCAAATCAAGAGGGTAACCAGATATTAGAGAAATGTGAAAATAAAATCACAAACAAAAGACTACAGTATCCACAGTTGGAAATGGGTTCAATATGATTAATCAAGTGTCAGACTATTGTGAGGGCATTACCCATTAGTTCCCCCATTAACCAATTATCTGGCTAAATCATTATTCTTGTTGAATGACATCCCATAATGCCTACTGTATTCTATAAAGGTAGCGCTATAGATCATAGAGGCATTATTATTACCATGAGGGTGAGGTGACCTGAACTGGGGCCTACATGCTTTTGTGTAACATGCAATCCTATCCTACCATGACAGACGCAAAGTCATAACCGCTCAGTCACACACCATCCTCATTATGGATTGAAGCTTACCTCAATCTAACCTTCAGAATACTGCATGTAACTGAGATATAGCAAACCTTAGGAGTAGTAAAACCCCACAGTTATGGAGTAATTCATGGAGAATAGTAGGCATTATAGCAACATTATTTTCAATAGGAAGTATGGTAGGTAACATATCGGAATTCAGGGTCCTATTATGTCACCATTGTGCATGACATTTACATTTCTGGGGCTTCAGGAAGTAGACGCTCTTGAGCAGGGGCCGTGTGTGCAGTAGCTACTTCTGGAAGTGTTTTGTCCTGTGTAAGGCATCAGATGAGGCGTGAGAGAATGACCCAGAACAGCAGCCTACCAGTGATGGCTGCAGGTGAGTTGCGGAACATCTCGTAAACCTTGGAGATGTACAGCACCATCATCAGCTTGTCTGGGTCCTGGTCCAGAGCCATCTCCTTCCCCGTGGTCATGGGCTGGATCCCAAACTCACGCTCTGCTATGTCAAAGGCCAGTTGGTTGTTCTTGGCAGAGTCCTCCTCATTCAGGCAGTCAAAGTCACTAAAAAGAAAGATAGAAAGATAAGAGGCATCAGGTTTACATCCTATAAGATCTTAATAAAGTTGTTTCCCTGATGAAGTGAGAATGTTGGTTTAATGATGCATTTGATAAATCGTTCCACACCAACAGAGTGATGAAAGGGGAACTGAAATGTGACATCTAAGGCCCTTAGCAACAGCCCATAGTACTGTTATAAACATGTTTCCTTTCCATAAAATGGTTCAATTCAGAACGAACTGTGGAATCACATGGGCGGGGGGGAATTACTGAATGTGGAGCTAGAGCCAGAGGGATGATGTCATCACGGCTGCCCTCTCACACAAAGATGGTTTGAGAAGACCGCGTAAGGGATAATACACCCACAGGTCAACTGGAAACATTTAAAGGCGTGGAGCTCCTCATAAGTGCCGTCAGTATCTAATACTGTAAGTTCAAATGCTTTATAAACATTTGGAGTGCAATATGAAAACCAAAATGCTCTTTCCTTTGTGTGGTTTAGGCCATTTCTAATTTTTCTACTTAGAGAAACCTTGCTGTTGCCTACAAAGTTCAGGACATATAGCACAGTGTTTAACTCTGGAGTCCCACACCTTAAGTTTAACAGAAGTGTTCAATGTCACTGTTCACATTTTCAACAGCATAACATGTGACAGAACCAAAGGCAGTGCATGGCCACAGACAAGATGATAATCAGTGTGTGCTTTGATTGTGGTGATAAGACCACGACTGTGTGTGTGTGTGTGTGTGTGTGTGTGTACAATGTATATACACGTGTGTTCTCTCACATGAGGTCAGGCCGGATGCGGTGTATAAGAGCACAGAGCGCCAGGCCACTCTTCCAGGAGGAGGTGAGGTTGGTGACGTCCACGCCTCTATACCCCCGAGTCTGCTTCTGACACCAGGTGAGGAGGCGGCTTGGCTGGATGTCCGACTCTGTGGGAGAAGAGGGGTCCACCAATCAGTCAGCCAATCACTGACATCCTCCAAATAAACCCACAGAGAACGATAAACACACCTGGCTACACTGGCTAGAGTTTCTAGACATCACAGTGGTGTAATAACACCTCTTCAAGGTAAAGGGAGTAGGAGGTAAGGGAAGGGGAGTGTAGGCCAGCACACGCTTTTGTTGGGCATGTCTGACCCCGTTTCGTGTAATGTGACAGCAGTCATTGTTTAAAGTGGGTGTGACGGCCTGTAACTGTGATAAGCTTTTGTTCCTTTTATTAACTCTCAGCTGATGCAAGTTTATTGGAGAACCACATATCAGAGTACCAATAGAACATCACAAGGAGCCATTAAGCCCTAATGACGGATCCTCACGGTCAGCTCCTGGGCCATAGAAATACAATTACATTTTAGTCATTTAGAAGACGCTCCTATCCAGAGCGACTTACAGGAGCAATTAGCATTAAGTGCCTTGCTCAAGGTCACATCGACAGATTGTTCACAGTCAGCTCGGGGATTCGAACCAGCAACCTTTCGGTTACTGGCCCAACGCTCTTAACTGCTAGGCTACCTGTAGAACAGACATTTCCATTCAAGTCAACAATCTATGATGAGTGGAACTGCAGGCGTAATTTCTGTCCTGGCCTACGTGGGTCTGAGCCGGTCTGATATGATTAGAGGATGACTCAGACATGGGTTAGTCATTGAGATGACAGGTCTCAGACTGTGGTCAGTCTGTGTTTGTGAAGACTCACCTCGTCTGGAGAGACTGACAGATCTATGCGTGGGTCCACGTCGTTCCAGAGGACAGGAGTCCTGCTGCCCGTCTATGAACAGGTGACACACCTGAGAGAGAGAGAGATGAGTTTCTTTAATCTCTACGGGATCGGTGTCCCGTATACGGGACGGTTGAGCTAACGTGCGCTAATGTGATTAGCATGACTGTTGTAAGTAAGTAACAGCAAACTTTCCAGGACATAGAAATGTCTTATATGGGCAGAAAGCTTAAATTATTTTTATTCTAACGGCACTGTCCAATTTACAGTAGCTATTACAGTGAAAAAATACCATGCTATTGTTTTAGAGTGCACAGCAACAAAAAACGTGTCATGGCAACTGGTTTGATACATTCACCTCTGAAGGCAAATAATGTACTTTTGTCATCCTAAGGGTCCCAGAGATAAAATGTAGCATAGTTTTGTTTGATAAAATCCATTTTTATATTCAAATGTAGGAACTGGGTTCTACAGTTTGAACCCCTGCTGTCTATGGCTCCACACCCACCCCACCCGGCCATCTAGATGTGTGAAAGATAGTGTATAAGCTAATGATCCAACATGTATGAAATTCCTGGGAGTGTGTAAACTTACAAAAATGATATGGTAATACAAAATGTATGTTCTCTATAGTTATGTACTTGAAAATGTATCAATTGACCAATTCTGCATATTTGGGCAGACTTGATACAAAATAGTCCAATATTGCAATGCGTCACTGGATCAATCTGAAACTTTGCACACACACTGCTGCCATCTAGTGGCCAAAATCTAAATTGCACCTAAACTGCAATATTATATTGTGGCCTTTCTCTTGCATTTCAAAGATGGAAAATGCATGTTTTTTTTGTTTGTATTATCTTTTACCAGATCTAATGTGTTATATTCTCCTACATTAATTTCACATTTCCACAAACTTCAAAGTGTTTCCTTTCAAATGGTATCAAGAATATGCATATCCTTGCTTCAGGTCCTGAGCTACAGGCAGTTACATTTGGGTATGTCATTTTAGACGAAAATTGAAAAAAAGGGTCCGATCCTTAATTAACATGCAAATGTCAATACATGTCAAGCATGTTAATGTCAACTGTTCTAAATAAAACAACACAACCTGTTTAAAGTGTGAGGTACTCTCCATCTCAGACAGACCTGATGTGGCTTGACACAGCTGGAGTTGAGGTTGGGGTACCGTGTCACCGGGTCGATGGTGTACTGCTCAAAGTTCTTTGAGATGTTCTCTGTCGTTGTTTGGGGTAATAGCCTGTAGAGACTCTCCCTACAAACGTAACAGGAGATGAAAATCATTCATTTTCTGTTAAAAGCCGAACAACAGATGACCTGTCATACTGCGGAACAGTAAACATCACAAAATACCCATAACTTCCACTAATAGGATAACCAAACATTTACTAACCTGTAATATGGATCTAATCCTAATTTGAATGAAGACACCTGACAGCTATTTTCAGTTACTGAAACCAGTTTCTCATCTTTTGGATTAAGTAAGTGTCAATAGAAACTCATCCCATTTACATTAGGTCTGTGTAAGGACGTAAACATGACTTTAGTGACACCCCGCCCCTCAGCCTACTGTAGTACCTTTCTGCCAGGATCTCCAGGGGGGTCTTGCCCTGCGCCCAGCCCCTCACCATCCACACTGTGTCAAAGGCAGCCAGGAACCCTCTAGCACAGCCAGTCCCCATGGGCCAGAAGGGCTAGAGAAAGATAACTCATACACTACATTCAGGACACACACACTAGTAGCTCAGCAACAATAAGCAAACTAGAAATGTTCTTAATCTGCCTATAGGGAATATGTGTGGGGAAAACCATGCTCATCTGATCTACTGTAACCATCCCAAAGGCAAACAATCCCCACAAAAAAAAGGAGCCTTCCATTCCCACATTTGTTTCTTCAAACAAGTTGAAACAGGATTTGCTTTTACATACAACACATCTACTGTTGGCTCTTGTGACTTGAGAGGCATAGCTTTGAATATCGACTGGCACTATAGTGAGGAATGAAATTAACAGTGATCTATACCTGCACCATATTTATTAAAGCACCAAACAGATGAAAAACGGACTGAAACGGAGGAAAAACCTGAAGTTGTCCAATAAGAAATGCTTGTCTTTGTTTTCTGCTGCAAATGTTTGCTACATTTTTCTACGTTGCGTCCAAATGAATACAACCTAGTTGTGTGTATACATTTCACCCATAACAGTACAACATCTAGTATGAAGTCAACCCCTCCCTCACCTCCAGTAGACTGTCCCCCACCAGAGACACCAGTAGCTGGTGTCCGTACTTCTCCCTGACCAGAGCTGCGTTCTCCGAGGCGTACATGCAGGTGAAGTCGAACATGGCCACGTCGGGCTGGCTGCAGTGGTTGATGGCGTAGTCCAGAGAAGGCAACTGGTAGTTGGTGCCAAAGTCGGCCGCCTCGCGGGCGTAGGAGAGAAGAGCCTCCTGGTTCACGTTGTCCCGGCCCAGCAGCTTCTCTGTTTCAATATAATCCTGCAGGACCAAGAAACAGGGAGGGTTGATGGGAAATCAGTGGTATTGCTCCGAAAGGATCAGAGCTCAACCTCTACCAGGCCCTAGTTGTAGCCCTAGAGATGGTTGTAGCCTATAACTGGGGCTTAAGATTTTCCTGGTCAGGTCACATGGTCAGCAGAACATCAGGGCCCGACCTACTGTATCTAATCGCTCTTGATCCTGTAGAGATCAGACTGAGGGGGTGACAACAGGCCCCAAATACTTTACAGTAGCCCTAGACCGTTTTGTTCAACATTTCTGAACACATAAGCAGGACTGGAAACACTATACAGTACAAGGCAGTTTATTTTAACCAGCTGCTGAAACATCAAAGGAACAGGTCTCACCTCAGGGAGTAAGCAATTACAGGGGCTACACGTCTACCCCATTATTCTTACGGATCTGCTCTCTCACAGGCAAATCATACCGTAATCACCAACATTATTTGATCAAAACGTATTGTCGGAATTAAGATGCAATTCAAGAGCTTGCTGACAAATCCAACAAGTCAAGGCAGCAGTGCTATAATTAGAGTTTTGAGACTCTACACACGGAGGTCACAATTAGAGCAGGAGGGATGAGGACTCGGTCTTCACTAAGGGAGAGTATGAAATGGAAACGAGCCTTCAGAGACCACTACAAAACATCTCTTATGGAAATGAAGCCAGGGAGGGCTGTATGTGTTAATAGACCTCTTCCTGATACAATGTGTACTGTTGTAATAATAACCCCACTCATTCCCCTAATCCTCTGAGGACATTGCATCCTGCAGAGAGACAGAGTACTCATCGTTATGACTCATGTAAATGAGGCCGCTGCCAACTCTCTGCGCCTCTCTCCCTCTGTGTGATGTTGAGAAGCATGCTGGGTTTGTGAGTGATGGGCCTCCCTGGGGATACTAATGAAATGGGGCGGTAATCACTGGTGCCCTGACTGAGACACAGACGTATAGTTAAACACGTCCACACACACTGCCAGATGGCCCAGATTCCTTCTCACCCAGCAACACTTTTTCCCCACTCACTCCACTCCAATATATCTTCCCCACTCACTCCACTCCAATATATTTTCCCCACTCACTCCACTCCAATATAATCTTGTCTTGTGTTTTTATTCTCAGTTTAATGCCAGGGCTAAGATTTGGCACCCCTCTGGCAGATGGGGCACAATGGCACAGCTGTAAATATCTGCGCTGTGGGGAGTGGCATATTGGGGAAGAGAACACAAAATAGCAAAACAAACACTCACATGAATGATGACTCCTTTGTCCAGCAGACTCTGCTTCTTTGCGGTCATCACAAAGTAGTGTGTGTTGTCTCTGTAGTACACAATGTTCTCCAGATCAATCCCTGCAACCACAACACAAAGCTTCATAAACAACTTTATGTCAGTCATGTTGACTAGGTTGACCGTACAACCATATTGGTTGAACCGGTCGTACAGTAGGGACTGGCTCAGTGGATCATGTTCCAAATCCAGTGTGTATCTTATAAAAATGTGAGTGATGGGACACGACCCTTTCATTAAGAGGGGATTGGAGGGGAGGGGATTCCGGCCTGTCTTCACGCTGCTGAACCTCACAAAGCTAAGCAGGCTGCTAGAATCAGCAGCACTAGATCCTCCAAGGTGTGTTAACATGGGAAAGCATTTCTTATCTACCCGACAGGCTCGTACTTCAGCATAAACACTCCCTTCTTCGTAGGAGCCACACTGGTTTCATTGATTAAAACATATTGCGGTTCCCACTGGACTGATGTGATGACACCTAGGGGAAACAGCATTCTCGAAGTAAATTAGCCTGGTCGCACATCAATGACCATAAGAGTTGGCAAGATCGCACAAACAGATCTAAGACCTGGCTAGAGGTCAATGCCCTGGAGAGGGGTACAGTAGGTGTGTGTGGGGTCAGGTTTGTGAGATGGCCCACCGGTCTCCTCTTTGAGATCCAGGAAGAACTTCTGGTTGAAGATGAAGGCCACTCCGCTGATCTCCTCCACCTTGGCCTCGGCTGTGGTATTCCTGTTGACGAAGTTGGCTGTGATGGCGATGGCCAGCTTGCCCCGGAACTCTTTCCTCCCGAAACCTACAGTACACGGCAAAGCATCATTATTGTTCTGCTGACACAGAACATCTTGGAAGTTAATCATTTTATACCGGATTAAACTGGGTCAGATTGACTTATCACAGAGTAATCATTTTAGTGTTATAAGGAACTACAGGCTGATAAGGTTCAAATAATAATATAAAACAACACAAGCATTAGGGGCATTATAAAATACTACATTTGAACTTTTTCTGAGCAATACTCTTGTCTGGGTGACAACTAACCCATTTATTTTCCTTTTTAGGTACAGACTACACTCAAGACCGATGCCAATACTGTAATTGACTTTCACCCATGTCACATGACCAGGTTCCATCCGTATACAAGCTGTTCATCTTCTCAGGTGGACTTCCGGGTAATGTGCTCTGACACAGGTCAAAGGTTCCCTGCACTATCTAGAATTAACTGCAGATGAAGACGAGTAGTCCCAAAAAATTATCCCGGTTTTCGATTAACAAAACCCCCAAAAATATGATTTTAGAGCTTTTTAATGAAAATTCCAAAGCCAAAAATAGTGAACATTCAAAACATTGAAAATATTCCATTGTCTGTCAGATCCACATACTGTAGACGTCATAGTAATTTCCTTTTTTCTATTGAAATAAGATATTTAAGTTATATTACTTCATTTGATTATTATTATTTTTCATTCCTTAAAGTCATCTTCACATCTCTGCTCAGGCAGTAGCAGCCAGCCAGCCAGACAGACAATATTATCTCTGTGCAGTCTTCAGTCATCCTATTTAGCTAGGCTAACCTGCCTAAGTATGCTGCAGAGCTGTCTGACAATCATTTTACTAGTTCTTCAAAGTAGATAAGGACATACTTTCACGAACTGTCTCTATCCCTCTCTCTCATTGTTGTTGTGTACATTCCTCTCATGGTCTGTGTGTATCGAACCTAAAGTAGCAGGTGTAAAAGTGTATCCATCTCTGGCTGAGATGGAAAAAACAGGCACAATGGATTATGGTCATTGTAGTTAATTACCAAGTTTGTGTTGAACTAGGTTGATTATTTGCTTAATGAAAACTACAACTCCCTTCAGCCCAGCGTCCCACATACTTCTTGATTTCTCTTGTGAATGATTGGATTCCTCTCTAGAGAAACGGAGCATTGGGCTAAGGAAAAAATATTAACTAAATGTCGGTCAATTAGTTGTGTAATAACCGAATAAATAAAACAAAAATTTAGGTTAATAGCTCAGCACAACTTATTCCCTCAGGCATGTTTCCTCTCACATACTGGAACACCTTGTGTGCAGTTCTATTGGACCTTCCCTTTAAGATATGACTGACATTTGAAGTATTTTATGACCATAAAGTGTTTATGACTGGCAAGCTAAGGGCCAAAGTCTGTCATTTTTGCCCCTTCTTTAGTTGAAAATGTTTCCAAGACAAGGCTCATATTGTTCAGGTGTGCAACTTTAGCCATGCCCAAGGGTCTTACAGACTACTGTCAATGTTTACACAGTCAAACATAGTGTGTAGAGCAAATAACATCCCCATCATGTGTTCTTCTCACCGTCTAGCGTGTTTCTGCGTCCATCTGCACCGATCACCACGTCAAAGTCAAAGTCAGCAAGGGGGTGGTTTGCTGGTCTGATCTCAGCTCTCCATCCAGGCCCTGGGAAAAGGACAACATACAGTATTAGACAAGCGTTCAGAGACAGTGGCAAGCCATATCAATACAGCAAGGAATATATTGTAAACATTTTCTATTTTCCATGACTGTTAAGGTTGCATTTGAGACATGTTTGTTATTGATGACAAGTCACTACATTGTGCTTTTTGATTAATGTGAAGGCACTGTTAAATACATAGCTAAGTTGTCTCCAACTATAAATAGCTGAAGTCTTGCTGAGGGTTTGTAATCTTTCACAATGCAGCGTGGTGAGTGGCAATGACGCAGAGAGAAACAGAGACCCTCTCCATATTAGCTCAACACTCCTGCCACACAGTCTCACAGAAACACACCATGCCCACAGCACTTTCTCCTGAGGTACCCCCTGAAGAACCCAGTCACTGCTGCAGAGGACACATTGCAACCCTACATTTAGGCTAGTCTTCCATCTTTATCAGTCTAGGGACAACCGTATGCTACTTGATAAACTAACTGGGGTAAAGAAAACAGGAGGTTTGTTCAAATTAAATGTTCAAAATCAAGTGGGGCAGTTACAGCAGTTGAGGTACTCTGAGGGACTTTGAAATACAGCTTCGGAAATATACATTGGGCTTGTTTTTGGCATCAACTAAAAATTAGGCAAGCAACACTGACCTACAAAGCACATGCGCTTCACTGCAGACCTAGAGGCAGCCTCTACTCGTAAATTGAATTATGCGGCCACGGGTTTCTAAATCAAGAACACAAGATTGAGAAGTAGCCAATCCATCTGTGGTGTGTGATGTCATTTTGATCAAGTACCAGGGCTTGAGGCAGAGAAAGACCTGGTGCAGCCAACCAATGAAACATCAGCAATAGTGCTAATCATACGAACTCAATATGAACAACAAATGAACAGAAATGTAAAAAGCAGATTTCTAACAAACATTCAAGCATGAAACAAACCGTGTTGTAAACACAGCTGTTTAGTGCCATGCTTTCACAGACTGATGCTGGACCTGATACCACTGTGTTGGATTGAAAAGTGTGGCGACAGAAAGACAGAAAAACATGACCGGTTCATGTCCAGAGGTGGGAAACGCTGTATTTTCTAACTGAACCGAAAGAGAGTCACCTTCATTCTCCTGGTTCTCCGGTGGCTCTAGCAGTTTGACAAACTCCACGTTGACATGGACCTCCACCCCCACGATGAGGGAGACCTTCAGCAGCATGAGCTGGAGCTGGCGAATACCTTCAGACACATACAGACCAGGTATAATTAAGCAATAAGGCCAGAGGGGGTGTAGTATATAGCCAATATACTATGACTAAGGGCTGTTCATATGCACGACGCAACGCAGAGTGCCTGGAGACAGCCCTTAGCCATGGTATATTGGCCATATACCACAAACCCCAGAGGTGCCTTATTGCTATTATAAACTGGTTACCAACATAATTAGAGCAGTAAAAATAAATGGTTTTCATACCCATGGTATACGGTCTGACATACCACAGCTGTCAGCCAATCAGCATTCAGGGCACGAACCACACAGTTTATAATTTACAACACATATCCAACTACATACACTTAGTCTCCAATAACCTGTGGCATTACTAGGCTTCCAGATACATGGTTAGTGAACTGCCACGTGACTGATAATCCATTCTGAGGTATAGGTGTAGCTAGCTAGCAGCTGGTAAATCTATTTTCAACTTCATAGGTTAATCTGAGAAGCATTGTTCATCTCAGCGAGTATTTCTGACTCTGTTCCTAAAGCAGAGAGAGGGTCAGGAAAGGCAGCATCTTCCACATGGGGACAGAATAAGCCTCATAGGAACAAGCTGGACATTTCACTGGAAAAACCACCCAGTTGCCAAATGTTCTGATAAAGGACACAAGAAGGCCTGTTTGTGGCATCAGTGGTTTTGAAACACACACAGTATTTGTATTTATGGGCTCCTCTACTTTGCATGTTGTTATCTAAGGCACGGCAGTTGCAGGGAGATATAACACTCTTACACACACAATCGTCAGATTTCTCAGCAGAGCAAGCCAGATATATTTTAAAAAAATCCAACTGAAGAACGTAGTGACTGATAGGAAGAGATCATGTAACAATGTTTACCATCTGATAAATCTTTCAGCCACATTCAACTTCCTCAGTCAGTTTTCCCCAGCAGAACATCAAAACAAGGAAGAATAACATTACTTAACATACTTTCATATGAGATAAGAATGACATTAGCAGTACAATACTTACTGATGTGGTCTATGGCTCCAGCACAGAATTTGCCGTAGAACTTCTTGGCCCCGAGGCCCCTGAGGTCGTGGATGGTGTAGGGCCACAGATGCAGCACGTTGTTCCTGGAAAAGGTGTCCCTCTTCTCAATCACCACCACCTTGGCCCCCAGCAGAGCCAGCTCAATGGCCGTACGCAAGCCACAGGGCCCCCCTCCGATGATCAGACACTTGAGAGAGAGAGACACACTTCGTCATCATCAGTGTACAATACAATCTGTAGTTAAACAACCAGGAAACACATCTCACATAATCAACAAAATGTTGCAGGGGTGAAATTAAGAAAACTGCGATTAGCTACATCAAAGGCGATCACCTCTTCTACATTAGTTATATTGTATTGCAACCTCTAGTATAAAGCATCAAACATTAAAACAAGGCCTCATAAGGGGAACTGAAAGGGGAACATAGCAATATAAGAGCATATAGGGCCCCATAATGCATCAGGTTTCATATCCTACAATAAAACAGAACCACTTCAGTCATTCACTGGAGTGAGCCACTGACCTCTGTGTTCACTGAAGGCATTACAGAGAGAGCAAGGAGATTACCTTATCCTCTGCCGTAGTTGTCGGCCTGTCATATGGGCAACTCCACGGTAACGGAATGATGCTGAGACTCAGATTCTTCACTTTAAAATGTATGCCAAACAAAAACCAATGATTGCAAAGTTAAATAGACCATATAACTCTACGCACAAGGACAACTTTTAACAATTTCCACTGGAAATCTTACACAAAACACATTTACATGAAGAACAGTGCAGATTCAAAGTTTGGTAAGAATGATGGCACAAATCGTGTATAGAGTTGTATGGTTTGTGACTCAAACATCTGATACAGAGCGTTGGACACAGTCAGGTATTTGAAGGTTACTGGGCCTGAGTGTGGTGGGTTTGAATGGGCTTATCTCACTCCACTGATCTCACTTGGACATGGATGTCTGCTATGCATTATGGGGATTTGTCTCACCAGACAAACAGCGTTGCTGAAAAGGGTTCAGCTGATTCCAGTCAAACTAAGTCCTCAAGCGATACTGTATGTGCCATTCATGAGGTTGTTATTACTAGAGACTTGACCTGTGGTATTTCAACTACACACAGCTTGTAAAATCTCAGCATACATAGCATATTCAATAGAATTGAAGCCCATTTAGACCAAACAAAGGAGACAATGAACTGTTGGAATGAAAGGAATTAATTGGTCTTAATGTGGCTCTGTACAAGGTGAATGATTGTCACTGGGATATGGAGATGATAGTGTTATTTGGCTCTGTGTTGAACTGTGGGTTTTTGGGCTATTCTTAGAGAATGCCTGAGTCAGCGCTCACGTTGTTGTGTACTGTTTCCAGAGCTTGTCATTAACCGTACACAGATTGCACCAAAAGAGGTCAACCAAGGGTGAAAAACGATTGAGTCACTTTTACTGGACGCAACAATAAGGATGATGAGTTCAGTCCTGCAAGTACGGCAGGGCCAACACTCAGCTGTTTACCCACGTGTGACCGCTGTGTTTTTAAAGGTCTTGTAAAATACAAGTTTCCTTATTGGTCCAGTTTGACTGTTTACTGAAAAGTATTGTTTGACTTAACTGCAGCTTTGTGAAACTGGTGCTTATATAGAACAGAGGTGTGTCCAGTGCCATTCAGGTTCAGACACGATGCCCCGATGAGGGATTGCTCAAAAGACTAGGCATAGTTTCACAATGAACATGGTTTGTTAACATCTGTACAATGTAAACCTATGGTGATATTTCATCACTTTCAGACACAAAACCCAACCCTGATTGGTTCATTGGTGAGGAGGTTCATGGGTGCCTAGGTTCATGCATGTCTGGACACACACAGGAAATCCAAGATCCCTTAATACTGCTGCACTATTTGATGATATACAGTGGGGAGAACAAGTATTTGATACACTGCCGATTTTGCAGGTTTTTCTACTTTCAAAGCATGTAGAGGTCTGTAATTTTTTATCATAGGTACACTTCAACTGTGAGAGACGGAATCTAAAACAAAAATCCAGAAAATCACATTGTATGATTTAAGTAATTAATTTGCATTTAATTGCATGACATAAGTATTTGATACATCAGAAAAGCAGAACTTAATATTTGGTACAGAAACCTGTTTGCAATTACAGAGATCATACGTTTCCTGTAGGTCTTGACCAGGTTTGCACACACTGCAGCAGGGATTTTGGCCCACTCCTCCATACAGACCTTCTCCAGATCCTTCAGGTTTCGGGGTTGTCGCTGGGCAATACAGACTTTCAGCTCCCTCCAAAAGATGTTCTATTGTGTTCAGGTCTGGAGACTGGCTAGGCCACTCCAGGACCTTGAGATGCTTCTTACGGAGCCACTCCTTAGTTGCCCCGGCTGTGTGTTTCGGGTCGTTGTCATGCTGGAAGACCCAGCCACGACCCATCTTCAATGCTCTTACTGAGGGAAGGAGGTTGTTGGCCAAGATCTCGCGATACATGGCCCCATCCATCCTCCCCTCAATACGGTGCAGTCGTCCTGTCCCCTTTGCAGAAAAGCATCCCCAAAGAATGATGTTTCCACCTCCATGCTTCACAGTTGGGATGGTGTTCTTGGGGTTGTACTCATCCTTCTTCTTCCTCCAAACACGGCGAGTGGAGTTTAGACCAAAAAGCTCTATTTTTATCTCATCAGACCACATGACCTTCTCCCATTCCTCCTCTGGATCATCCAGATGGTCATTGGCAAACTTCAGACGGGCCTGGACATGCGCTGACTTGAGCAGGGGGACCTTGCGTGCGCTGCAGGATTTTAATCCATGACGGCGTAGTGTGTTACTAATGGTTTTCTTTGAGACTGTGGTCCCAGCTCTCTTCAGGTCATTGACCAGGTCCTGCCGTGTAGTTCTGGGCTGATCCCTCACCTTCCTCATGATCATTGATGCCCCACGAGGTGAGATCTTGCATGGAACCCCAGACCGAGGGTGATTGACCGTCATCTTGAACTTCTTCCATTTTCTAATAATTGCGCCAACAGTTGTTGCCTTCTCACCAAGCTGCTTGCCTATTGTCCTGTAGCCCATCCCAGCCTTGTGCAGGTCTACAATTTTATCCCTGATGTCCTTACACAGCTCTCTGGTCTTGGCCATTGTGGAGAGGTTGGAGTCTGTTTGATTGAGTGTGTGGACAGGTGTCTTTTCTACAGGTAACGAGTTCAAACAGGTGCAGTTAATACAGGTAATGAGTGGAGAACAGGAGGGCTTCTTAAAGAAAAACTAACAGGTCTGTGAGAGCCGGAATTCTTACTGGTTGGTAGGTGATCAAATACTTATGTCATGCAATAAAATGCAAATTAATTACTTAAAAATCATACAAATGTGATTTTCTGGATTTTTGTTTTAGATTCCGTCTCTCACAGTTGAAGAGTACCTATGATACAAATTACAGACCTCTACATGCTTTGTAAGTAGGAAAACCTGCAAATTCGACAGTGTATCAAATACTTGTTCTCCCCACTGTATGTTGAATTTATTAAATATAGAAAAGTACACATGAGTACACATTCCAGGCGATGCTTTCCAAAGGTCTGGAGGGTCAACATTTCAATACAACAATTAATAAACTGACATTCTCAAGTGAGTCGTCCATATGGAATGTGAGTGCATATTACAAGATCACTGTGTACATAGTGAACCATTCTGAATGAATAGGATATGCTAATATACATTTGATACATAAACAAGCCCTTGCATAAGAACCAAAACTATTCCGGTCACTACAGCAACGTAAAACAAAGCCACAAACCCACTTTAAATGGGAGGCAAGAAAATAGTTGTCCATGGAATTTGGCTACCAGACAAGCGCCACCCGGAGTCGCTCACCATCGTCTAGGCCTATCTAACTCTGGCCTCCTTCCCTTAGAACCTCTAATATTTTCCTCTGAGAGTTATTAAGTCATGCAAACAGTATGCTAAACATTCTAGAAAAGGTAGACCTAAATGAGCAGAAAAAATATTTTTTGTTCCTACCAAAATCCATTGCGTTGTGATAGATTTGCTGATTTTGCCCTGTCAAATAATTGGTTTATCATGCTTTCTTTGTTTGACATGATCCCGTGGACGTGTGCAACGTAGCTGTTCATTTCTCCGTATTGCTCCCATAAGAAGCATCTACCAGCTGGGTGTACAGGGATATCATATCTCAAGACAGTGTAAGAGATACACAGCAAAAGTATGTCATGCATTATAACATTACCATGAAAGAGAAGTCACATTATGAACCTACTGTACAACTAGTACTTTACATACTGTAAACCATATCATTAAATAGTACTTTAACCTCTTTTGTATAACTGCCTTAATTCTGCCAAGGCAGCAGCTAATGGTGATCCATTATAAATACAAATACAAATCTTTGACCAACATTTTATAAAAGTAAAAACCACTTATCAAGTTGTAAACTATTAAGAGTTTTGAGTGAATGTGAATTGATGTCACAGGGCTTCGACTTGATAAAACTGTAGTCTGATTCATTGTGAAGAATTTAATAAAAAGTAGCCTATTCCGTCACAGACGTTGACCAGAGTCTTTGCTACATCTGACACAGGGAAGTTATAAATCAAAACCAACCAGGTATGAATCATCAATCCCTAAGCAGATATAGGATATTAGCATGGAGATCATCATCTATTCAATCCCAATGTGGAAGGTTTGCCCAAAGGCAAATACAGGGTTTGTTCATTTAAGGCTTCTTCCTTATATCTACAGGTAACTGCCAAAATAATGGAAAAACTTGAGTAAATGAAGGATACAAAGTATATTGAAAGCAGGTGCTTTCACACAGGCGTTGTTCCAGAGTTAATTAAGCAATTAACATCCCATCATGCTTAGGGTCATGTATAAAAATGCTGGGCAGGCCATTATTTTGGCTACCATGGCTATGCCCTCATTTACATTGACCCCCTTTATTATTGATTTCTTTATTTTAATAGTTTTGCACTGACTCCCTTGCACTGTCTTTATGCACGCCTCACTAGACTCTACCCACACACATACTACACTGACAATCCAACACACAAATATTGACGCCACACACGGTTTATTATACAGTATATCCTGATTGCCTAGTAACTTTTACCCCTCCCCACATTTGAACACTTATGGGAGATTCTGGAGCGGCGCCTGAGTCAGCGTCACTGTGAAATCACAGGAGGTTGGTGGTACCTTAATTAATAATATAATAATATGCCATTTAGCAGACGCTTTTATCCAAAGCGACTTAGTCATGTGTGCATACATTTTTACGTATGGGTGGTCCCGGGGATCGAACCCACTACCCTGGCGTTATAAGCGCCATGCTCTACCAATTGAGCTACAGAGGACCACTAGTTGGGGAGGACGGGCTCGTGGTAATGCCTGGAGAGGAATAGTATCAAATACATGGTTTCCATATGTTTGATGCCATTCCATTTGTTCCATTCCAGACATTATTATGAGGAGTCCTCCCCTCAGCAGCCTCCACTGTGTGAAAGCTTGGCTGACTTCTTACCCTAGTGCCCTCACAGGCTTTGGCTTTCTTGTACTCCTTGTGGCCGGCTCTCTTATCCAGTTTGGTCCAGAGGGCCTTGGCCTTCCAGTTGGTGACTGTGGCTTTGAGGTTGCTGTAGAAGTTCCTGTAGTCCAGCGGGTCCAGATCCATCTGCCTGCATAAGATATTAAAGGCCTGCATAGTGCCCTTACACGTGGACGCCTGGACAAAGTTCTCAAAGAGCTGCCCGGCCTGGGCACTCCTCTCATCCTCTGTTTCACACATCTTCTGTTTTGGAGAGTGTCCGTCACTCCCTCGCGCCGTCCCCAGCCGCTCACTGGCTTAGTTAGACTATTATACGACTGCCATCTCAGCGTGTTCTGGAAAGGAACATTTTATTTTATTATTACAGCATCACTCTGCACTCAGACTATGGACAAAAATAACCTAGACATTCTCTGTGATATGGTCTCCCAAGTAATAATGTTACGTGGTAATAAATAGCACTCTTAATAAAACAGAACATCACAAATTACTTTTCTTAAAAATTCAACACAAGAGTAATTTGCACCCTTCAGCTTGATTATGTTACTGGACATTTAAAAATCTAAACAAGGATATATCACATTACAAATGTATGGAATATCTGTAGCATGTTCTCAAAAGACACTATACAACATGCATCCTTGAGAGAAGATTCTCAAAGTGTGAACCAACATTTCCACTGAGTAGTCACAGGGAAACACAGAAGATGTTGAAATAGTACGGCCTGTTTAAAGCATGAGGATGCTGTTGCATAAAACATAATAAATACCCCTAATTTGCATAGCTGGAGATGTTCATCAGCTCTGAAACAAACCAAAAAGTCCCAGGGATGAGAAGAGAGATCTTTCCACATTCCAACACCCGTGTACCCTATATATACACACACACACACACACTTCACTGCCTCCGTCTGCAGCCCAAATAATAGGACAAGCGACGCCATTCAACTAGCCATCATTCAGTAATTGATCCGCTTCAAGTAAGCATTCCACCAATTTCAAGCAGCATATTGTAGGAGCATGTGCTCATGATGTATCCAAGGAAATCAAATCTGTTATTCAGTGTATAATACGTTCTCTCAACAATGACTCTACCCTTCATGTCAATTGGAATGGAAACCTGGATGTGTTAAAGGAACCATCAAAGTACTAAAGTAGGGAAAATGCAGTTTCCATGAGGCCTGAAACAGGATCCCCATTGATATTTGGATCAGTTGAATGGCTATGTGCAGACTGCAGGAGTGTGCAACCCAAACAAGTGAGAAGTCTGGCCGTCGTGGCAGAGGCCTGCCAGTCTATGGTAGCTCTCGTCTCTCCACCGCTTTTAGTGGACCAGAGGGGGTATCACATCTCTCATACCTAATCACGTTTGGCAGATTGCAACATCTCATCTAGCAGAGGCTCTGGCATTGAAAGTCAGATGCGCTCTGCTCCAAGATACACTGCTCTTCTTTCTGACCTGAGTTAACCACTCATGGGACGTTTCAGCTCAGCCAAGAGAGAAATACAATTTAAATTACATGACTTGTGATTGGGAATTCTCACATTTCAACTTAGCTTCCTCTAGGGGGGGTTAAAGACACACAGTAACTCAAACACTTCCAGGGAGTCAGTGTGGTATGGGAGAGTTCACGGCCTAATCTATATTTAACCGCTTTAAGCGCTGTGGGAAATTGCACAGGAAGTGTTCGGCATTATATCGCACTCACAATCTGCCTCTATTTGTAGAAACAGTTTTAAGTAGAGTAGGAAAAACTGGAACAAGACATTTATATTTCCACTGAAATCCTTGTATTTAGACACGCACATAAGGGAAATGTAGGGTAAATAAAACTGCCTCCGTCATTCATATATTCTAAACACTGTACAAATGATTTTGTTAATAGAACACACTATTCAACAAAGGGAGAATGGCACTACCCAATCATAGGGAATACTACGTAAGCCCATTTGCATTGGGGTGACTCGCAATACAGCACTGTATGGAATGAGAGGCTGTCGTTAAAGGTTGTCCGAGCCAGTCTATAGCTGGGGATAAAGACTAATGAGAAGTTAACATTCACACTAGACCTTTGGTTTAGGATTGGGAAACAACAAGCTGAAAAAGGAAGTCAGAATGTTGAAATGGTTTGCTTTTGACCCGAAATGTAAACCAAGTATTTATAATATGGGCTAAGAGAGGCATGACAGAATGTTATACTATTGTAGAGGATGGAGCTCTTTAAGTTTTCAGAATTTGAAGGAGAAGAATGGTATGAATTTTTTTTTTTTTTTTTTTATCTAGATTTTTTCAGATATTTACAGATAAGGGATTATTTAGAAAAAGTGAAAATATTGCACCTTCTGCAAAACCAAAATGGGCCTGTCATGTAATTCGAAATGCATATAAACAAGGCACATCCAATAAAATGTCTTCACACTCATGGCCCAATTGCCTGTAAAAAGAGATTCAACCTTTTATATTAAAGCAAAAATGGGAGAAAGAATTAAGGACTGATATTTCAGAGGAAGGGACAATATGCAAAACATAACATACTTCTACAAACTCAAGAACATGGCGGGAGTTTGATGGGAAAAAAATTATTTTTCATCACACCTAGAAAAAACCAACAGCTAGGTACACAACAACCATGTTAGCGGCCATGTCCATGTTCAGTACCTTCAGAAAGGTAAGGAAAGAGTATACAGCAGTGGAGGCTGCTGAGGGGAGGACGGCTCATAGTAATGACTGGAATAGAGTCAATAGAATAGTTTCAAACATGTGGTTTCAATGGGGTTGATACCATTCCAGCCATTACTATGAGCTGTCCTCCCCTCAGCAGCCTCCACTGGTATACAGGTCGAGCTAACCAAGGAGTATAATGTCAGTGTGTCAAAGCACAGACAAGACATGGGTATCGGTTACAACAGCAAGAAAGGGGTTGGTTTTTACAACAGCCAGGCTATAACTTAACATTAGACATAATGATCTAAAAATTATCCTGCTTTTAAAATCTGTTATCATCGTTTGCCTCACCTGAGATTTGGAGTAGCCACGGGCAATTTGGAACAAGAGAAAGGGTTATACGTCTGTGTTCGTGAAAACTCTGTCAGCGTACAATAAAAAGTAAGGCTGTAAAATTCAACATACGCTCTTGCATAAGAGACCTTTTAAGGAAGTGTGCTTGATCACTGATAAAGGTTTAGGTAATTCTGACTCCATTAGGTTTTTAACCCACAAAAGCACATTAATTTCATATACTGTAAGACATTTCCTCAAACATAACTAATTTTTTCTCAACTTAAGAGTTTAAATTGGATGCTTGATTCAAGGGTCATTGACAAAGCTAAATATTTCAGATTTTAAAAAAAGTTTGCGCTTTTGCATACATTTCCGCTACAAAATGAGTTTACTGTAGAAGTAAGCTTCTTATTAGTTATATAATATGCCATTTAGCAGACGCTTTTATCCAAAGCGACTTAGTCATGCGTGCATACATTATTATTTTTTTGTGTATGGGTGGTCCCGGGGATCGAACCCACTACCTTGGCGTTACAAGCGCCGTGCTCTACCAGCTGAGCTACAGAGGACCAGCGGACTGAGTACTGTGGTAGTAGACTGGGAGTGCTGGAGCACATAGTGTTAATGTCAAGAGAACAGAACAGTCTGTCCAGCAGCACAGCATGAGACAGGGAAAGTTGTGCCTTCTCAGTGTGAGACAGGAATCAAAGAAGGTGGTCCTCCCTCCTCTGTAGCTCAGTTGGTAGAGCATAGTGCTGGCAACGCCAAGATAGTGGGTTCGATTCCCGGGACAACCCTTACTTAAAATGTATGCACGCATGACTAAAATGGCACACACACACTGAACAAATATATAAAAACACAAACATGTAGAGTGTTGGTCCCATGTTTCATGAGCTGAAATAAAAGGTCCAAGAAATGTTTCATTTGCACAAAATTAGTTTACATCCCTGTTCGTGAGCATTTCTCCTTTGCCAAGAGATAATCCATCCACCTGACAGTTGTGGCATATCAATAAACTGATGAAACAGCATGATAATTACACAGGTGCACCTTGTGCTGGGGACAAAAGGCCACTAAAATGTGCAGTTGTGTCACACAACACAATGCCACAGATGTCTCAAGTTTTGAGGGAGTGTGCAATTGATTTGCTGACTGCAGGAATGTCCACCAGAGCTGTTGCCAGAGACTGTAATGTTAATTTCTCTACCATAAGCCGCCTCCAACGTCATTTTAGAGAATTTGTCAGTATGTCCAACCCTCTTCACAACCACAGACCATGTGCATGGCGTCGTGTGGGTGACCGGTTTGCTGATGTCAACGTTGTGAACAGAGTGCCTCATGGTGGCGGTGGATTATGGTAAAGGCAGGCATAAACTACGGACAACGAACACAATTGCATTTTAATTTGAACGCACAGAGATACCGTGATGAGATCCTGAGGCCCATTGTCGTGCCATTTATCCGCCGCCATCACCTCATGTTTCAGCATGATAATGCACGGCCACATGTCACAAGGATCTGTACACAATTCCTGGAAACTGAAAATGTCCCAGTTCTTCCATGGCCTGCATGCTCTGGATCGACAGCGTGTTCCAGTTCCCGCCAATTTCCAGCAACTTCGCACAGCTATTGAAGAAGAGTGGGACAACATTCCACAATCAACAGCCTGATCAACTCTGTTATGCTGCATGAGGAAAATGGTGGTCACACCAGATACTGACTGGTTTTCTGATACTTTATTTAAAAAAGGTATCTGTGACCAACAGATGCATATCTGTATTCCCAGTCATGTGAAATGCGTAGATTAGGGCCTAATGAATTAATTTCAATTGACTGATTTCCTTATATGAACTGTAACTGAGTAAAATCTATGAAATTGTTGCGTTATATCTGTCTATCAATCAATGAAGAGCTGACAAGTGCCTGGCCAGACAGACCGAGCCAGGAACACCTCAAAAAACACACTTCAAAAGACATGGCTCACTGGCTCTGAGCACCAATCAAAGAGACTCAGATAATTCTCCCTAGACCACAACAGCCTGTATAAACTGACCTCTTTACAGTACAGGAAATGGGAATTTCATAATACAGTCTAGATCATTGCGCATTCGTTTTCTGAGGGGAAAATCCAAAGGTCTCACACTAAGCGTTAAGTGTTTAGGCGTGTCAGAGAGGTGATGTGGTGAAAGGGAATTCAAAGCGGTTGGCTGGTGACATGCAGGTTTTAATATGACGCT